GAACATTTCAGCCTTACTGCCCTTGGGAGAGAAGTCTTCTATATTTCCCAGTTGGGATTCAGGCCTCATCACGGGACTGAAACTGCCTTGGTCGCACTGGTCAATGATCTTCGGTGGGCTAGGGACAAAGGTGAGAGCTGTTTCCTAGTTCTGCTGGATCTCTCAGTGGCGTTTGATACCATCGACTATAACAGCCTTCTGGACCGTCTAGAGGAGCTGGGGGCACTTGTCATATAGTGGTTCCGCTCCTTCCTCCTGGGCCGTGTTCAGAAAGTGGTGGGGGGGGATGAGTGTTCAGACCCCTGGGCTCTCACTTGTGGGGTGCCTCAGGGTTCGGTCCTCTCCCCCATGCTTTTCAACATCTGCATGCAGCCGCTGGGAGAGATCATCAGGGGGTTTGGGCTGGGTGTCCATCAATATGCAGATGATACCCAGCTCTACCTCTCTTTTAAATCAGAACCAGTGAAGGCAGTGAAGGTCCTGTGTGAGTGTCTGGAGGTGGTTGGAGGATGGATGGCAGCTAACAGATTGAGGTTGAATCCTGACAAGACAGAAGTTCTGTTATTGGGGGACAGGGGCAGGCGGGTGTGGAGGACTCCCTCGTCCTGAATTGGGTAACTGTGCAGCTTAAGGACCAGGTGCGCAGCCTGGGAGTCATTTTGGACTCACAGCTGTCCATGGAGGCATAGGTCAATTCTGTGTCCAGGGCAGCTGTCTACTAGCTCCATCTGGTATGCAGGCTGAGACCCTGTCTGCCCACGGACTGCCTTGCCAGAGTAGTGCATGCTCTGGTTATCTCCCGCTTGAACTACTGCAATGCCCTCTACGTGGGGCTACCTTTGAAGGTGACCCGGAAACTACAACTAATCCAGAATGTGGCAGCTAGACTGGTGACTGGGAGAGGCTGCCGAGACCACATAACACCGGTCTTGAAAGACCTACATTGGCTCCCAGTACATTTCCGAGCACAATTCAAAGTGTTGGTGCTGACCTTTAAAGCCCTAAATGACCTCGGTCCAGTATATCTGAAGGAGCGTCTCCACTCCCATCGTTCTACCTGGACACTGAGGTCCAGCACCGAGGGCCTTCTAGCAGTTCCCTCACTGCGAGAAGCCAAGTTACAGGGAACCAGGCAGAGGGCCTTCTCGGTAGTAGCGCCCGCCCTGTGGAACGCCCTCCCACATGTCAAAGAGAACAACAACTACCAGACTTTTAGAAGACATCTGAAGGCATCCCTGTTTAGGGAAGCTTTTAATGTTTAATGTATTAGTGTATTTTAATATTTGGTTGGAAGCCGCTCAGAGTGGCTGGGGAAGCCCAGCCAGATGGGCAGGGTATAAATTATAAATTATAAATTATAATGATTATGATTATGGCTGGGACACATCTGGAGACTTAGCATACCTGGGGTGGACACATGGCAGGTTATTTAGGTGCAGTGGCTCACTAAATGACTTGGACAATTAGTTGTCTGTATGTGTGGCTTTACATATACGTAGTGGTTTGGGGTCTAAGGTAAGCTAGCATAAGGAAGCTCATGGAAATAAAGTTTCCCATGTCCTCCTCTCTCCATCACTACATCCGACTTTGTTCAGGGCCAAGTAACCCTCCAGAGCAGGGGTCAGCAACCTTTTTCAGCTGTGGGCCGGTCTACTGTCCCTCTGACCATGTGGTGGGCTGGACTATATTTTTTTCGGGGGGGGGGGGAATGAACAAATTCCTATGCCCCACAAATAACCCAGAGATGCATTTGAAATAAAAGCACACATTCTACTCATGTAAAAACACGCTGATTCCCTGACCGTCTGCTGGCCGGATTGAGAAGGCGATTGGGCCGCATCCAGCCCAAAGGCCTTAGTTTGCCTACCCCTGCTCTACAGAGATCATAGGAAGATGCAGTCAGCTACAAAGGGATGGGAAACTTTTCTCAAGGGCACCATGATCAGCCAATGTAACCCAGCTAGTTTTGCCATGACTTGATGATTATTGTCTTGCGGTAACATAGAGGCAGGATTTTCACTGGTGACACCAGTGTTGTGGAATGCTTTCTCTCTTGAAACAGGAGAGGCCCCATCTGTGTTGGCATTCTTCCGGCTCCTGAAGGCTCACCTGTTTAGGCAAGCATTCCCCTGAACTTGTGGCTTTATTGTTTTAACTGTTTTAATTGTTGTATTAATTCCATATCGTATTATTCAAGATAGCTTGGTCCCACCCCCAACCTAAATCCTGGCTTTGCCCATGATTCCTACGTTACAAGCCTACATAGCTTTTGTAAGATATTTCCAACATGCTTATCTGAGTTTGATGAAGTTGGTTGATTTGGCTGAATACATAGGGATGAGATGCTGAGATCAGCTGCATCAAGCCAACTTGCCCCTTTGTTCAGCTGTGGTGTGTTTCCAAACCAGCTAACACCTACATTGTGTCTAGGAGAGTAAGGCGTGTTGACGTTAGCTGCCCCGAGGCCGTAGGAGAGCCGTCTTCTCCTATCCAGGGTGCAATTCTGATTAAAAGGATGTGAGTCAGCTTGAGCTGGATTTACGGCTGTCTCTCCAGATGCTAAGGCTGGCCTCCTTCCCCATAATTTCCAGCTTAAAAAACAATGCTATAATAAAACTCTTGCCCCCTTTCATCAAACGATTAAAGAATAAAAGGGAGGGGTTTTGCAACTTGAGAGACTGGGGAGAAGGGAAAGGGAAGCAGTTTTAGAAGGCAAGAAATTCATTTGTATTCATTTCCTACTCTACGTCTGATACAAGAATCCCAAATTCTGTGCATGCTCAGGCACACATACATTTTGGTGAGATGTAATGTGCCACTTCAATAGTTTGCGCACCCAGACTCCACTGAGATAAGCTGCTTTCCTGCTGCAATTTTTTTTGGTCAGTAGAATCAGATTTGTGAGGGGTTTCCAGGCTGATTTGCTTGCTGTACTCGCTTAATCCGTGATCAGTTGATCGCTCACTTGACTACTGGATTACATGGCTTGATTGCTTTTTGACTCTCAGCAAAACGTAGTGTTACAAAAGTAATGTGACGCCCCCATGTTCTGCAAGATTCCTGGGGGTTCCGGGCACTCTCTACAGGGTCCTTTGGAGAACTGAGACATGGTGGATAATGTCATAGCTTTAGGAAATATGGTTTATTCACCTATTTATACCTTCAGTCTGCCTGCAGGGAGTCCAGATCTTACAGCATGTTCATTTCAGGAGGGGTTTGTCCCCCACAGCAGTGCAGCCAGCCTTCAGCCAGCCTGCTCAGGATGGATTCCAGTCTTTCTTATTCCTTCTTCCCAGAACACCCAGCTAAAACTCTCTTTCAAAGCCATTGTTATCTCTTTCATACAAACCAAGGAATGTTGTCTGTGCAATTTCATTCTAGGGTTCTAAACTTATATGGTTACTGCAGTAGATAATGAAATCAAGAGAGGGACATATTCCACTGGGACTGCCATAAATTCAGCAGTCTGAATTTAAATATTACTGTGTCGTAAGACAAATCGGGCGTGTTTTCTCTTGTATAAATTGTCAACTTGCTGTAATAGAGTTTATATCCAAAAAATAAGCAAAGAGCACATTCATGAATGGCACTGTGAATGGCTTTTCCCACTAACGCTTTTTAAAAAGTGTTAAATTAGTTAAAATAGCATGTAAAACAGGGAATGGGCAAAACAATACTTTCTGGAAATTAAATTTCCATGTGCAGATGCAGGCAATATATCCATATAATCAGTTATTCTTGTGACAGTGGCCTCTGGATAGTATAAATGTCCAGCATGCTATTTTACAGGCTGTTGTCCAGATTTAAAGTTTATGGACAAGACCATACTTTATATACCTAATTGTACTTCAGTAAGAGGTGTATGTGCATTAAATATGTATGTGTGGTATTTTGGACATAATAGGAAACTTGAATGCTCCTCCGTCCTCTCTTCTTACCTTACTGTGAGGAGATCAGGAGCTTCCACTTCTCCATTGAAGCAAACCACAGTTCCTTGAGTTCAAATGTAACAGGGAGCTATGGTTTGTTGGACAAAACCCAGATTTAATCACGGTTTTGCACCTTGGCTTGTCCTGAACCATATTTTAAACAAGGGATTGGAGTTATGTTGAACTCCAACTCCCATCAACCCCATCCAGCATGGCCAATGATAAGAGATTATGGTAACTGTAGTCCAACAACACTGAAGGGCTGCAGGTTCCTCAGATCCCCAGACTGAGATACTCTGGATTGTTTAAAAACAGAAGTTGCTGATCTCCTTGTGGGCACAAAAGAGGGGAAGGTTGGAGGCTGTGGATAAGCCTGAGGCTTGTTCGTGTAAAGGGAAACCCTGGTTTCCTACTGCATCTGAATTGACATTATGTCTGTTTTGATCAAAAAATTATGAAACCAACCAAAAGCACTTTGCTTGCATGCAGTGATGTAGTTTTAATATGTTGCTTGTGGACATAAAGTTCAAATTCTAAGCCCACCCAAGTCCTAATCCAAGGCTGCGATAGCTTGGGAACTAAGCCATTAGCAATCAGAAGAGCGGTGAGTCACTTGGCTTCAAAAACTCCATTGTAATTCTAGAGCAGCTTAACCACTGACCAGCGATGTGAGTTTTCCTTGAAAATTTAGAATTGGAAAATACTGGGAGCTGCCAATAAATTAATGACCATTTCTCTATCATCTATTAAGTCTTTGAACGCTTGCCAACATGGCCTGGGTGCTCACCCCCTCTGTGACTTCCCTGTTACAGTTCTGTGGCAAGGTTGTGTTGTTTGCAGCAAAATGTGTTTCTGCATGCAGCCTTTTATGTAGACAGACATCTGAAATGATTCACTGCGAAGTGTGTATACAACGGATGTCTTTGTTGGGGGTTGTGAAACAACGCTTAAACATAATTCAGAAACCACAAGTGTGAATCACTTTAGGAAAAGTGTTGGGGTATTTTTTTTATAAAAAAAAACATGACTAGTTCATGGATAAATATTTTCTTTTTTTTCCTTTTCTCATAGGCCTCCCATCCATTTGCTACACTTCCAGTACTCCTGCCCAGATACTGGAAGAAACTGGCTGCCTTTACACAGATCCTCAGCTGTTTGGCAGCAGGCGGGATGGTTCACCGTTAATGATAGACTTTGTCAGCGATACTGAAAGTAAGTTCTTGGTGCTTGTAAAAACCCCTGCTTTCTAGCTGCTTTCGTCAATTGAGTTTCACACTGGTTTGTTTTGTTTTTTTGGACAAATGGCTTTCTTCAGATCCTTGTTGACATTGAGCCTTGCAAGTGGATCATTATACAAGGGAAATGGGACCCGGGTGCAGGACAGAGGGGGCACTTAGGTTTAATCAGAAGCAATTTGGTCCCTGAAGAGCAGAGGTGGGGAGTCCCTAGACCGCAGTCCAAATTTGAGCCACCAAGCCGCAGCATCTGGACAGAGGTCTCATCAGTCCACACTGCCGTCAAATGATGCTCTTGCATCCTTCTTCCCTTGTACCTCCCTATTTTGTACTGGCCTTACCCCCTGATCAACAATTGAAATTCACCAGGCGCATTTTGCAGCTGGCTACTTGAGAGCAAGTGAAGATGCCCAGGCACCAGGATGGCGCTTGACGTCTCCACCATCAGGAGGTGCATGACTGGGGATCATTGGATCTGTTTTCGCACACTTGCGACACATCCTGTAGAATTCTATCCGTTCTATTTCATCTGAATTTCAGGAGCCGAAAGGTTGTATTGAAAAATATGACTTTAGAGCTGTCTGGCCCCAAAATGACAATGAGGCATTCCATTTTGGCAACTGTAACCTTGGTTTAAGGAGCCATTTGGCACTTACTGTATTTTTCGCTCTATAAGACGCACCAGACCACAAGACGCACCTAGTTTTTGGAGGATGAAAACAAGAAAAAAAATATTCTGAATCTCAGAAGCCAGAACAGCAAGAAGGATCACTGTGCAGTGAAAGTAACAACCCCTCCTGCTCTTCTGGCTTCTGTGATAGCTGTGCAGCCTGCATTCGCTCCATAAGACGCACACACATTTCCCCTTACTTTTTAGGAGGGAAAAAGTGAGTCTTATAGAGCAAAAAATACGGTAGCTTATGCAGTCATACCTCGGGTTGAATATGCTTCATGTTGAGCGCGGTTGAGTTGCGCTCCGCGGCAACCCGGAAGTAATAGAGCGCGTTACTTCTGGGTTTCGCCGCTTGCACATACGCAGACGCTCAAAATTACGTCACACGCATGCGCAGAAGCGGTGAAAAGCGACGTGCATGTGCACAGACGTGCCATCGCTAGTTATGTTTGCTTCTGGATGCAAACGGGGCTCCGGAATGGATCCCGTTCGCATCCTGAGGTACCACTGTATATCTGAATTTCTAACGCTGCACCTGACATTTGGCTGAGTTATGAACTCAGGTTGGCAGCAGGATAATTGATGGAGGAAAAGGACATGCAGGATTTCTCCATCTTCCTCATTCAAAATAATCCAACCTTTCCCGTTTTTTTGTGTGTCTCTTTCTTTCTCTGCCTGCCATCTTTTCTCTTGCTTCAGCTGAAGACCCCCCTTGCAACTTCCACCCCCCGAGCTTCCTCCAGGTTTCAGAGGTGGAAATGAGAGGTTCGGAGGACGTTGCCCCTGGCACTGTGTTACAGCGGTTGATCCAGGAGCTGCGCTATGGCAACCCGAGCGAGAACATGAACCTGCTGGCCATCCAGCACCAGGCCACAGGGAGCGCGGGACCATCCAACCTCACTGCCAGCACGCTGCTTTCTTCTTCCACGGAAAACCTGGTGCCCGAAGACCCACAAATGGTCCAGCAGTCAGCCCGGCAGGAACCACAGGGCCAGGAGCATCAAGGGGACAGCACTGCGATGGAGAAGCAGCCCAGGGGCGCCCAGCCTCAGCAGAACAATGAAGAGCTGCCAACTTACGAAGAGGCCAAAGCCCAGTCTCAGTTTTTCAGGGGCCAGCAGCCCAGCAGCACCGCTGGGGCAGGTTTTTACATGGCTGGAACCTCCTGCCCGAAATCCAGAACGGAAGGGAGGCCGACATTGGCCCGAGCCAACAGCGGGCAGGCGCACAAAGACGAGGCCCTCAAGGAACTGAAGCAAGGCCACGTGCGATACCTTAGCGAGAGGATCATGCAGTTGTCGCTGGAGAGGAACGGCACGAAACAGCATCCACCTGCCTTGGGGAGAAGCAAAGGGTTCAAAGCGGGAGGGCCGTCCCCTCCTCAGTCCACCAGCAAAGGTGTGGATCCAAGGGGCCCGCCGCCGGACTACCCGTACAAAAGCAAGCAGGTGGTCTCTCCAGTGAGCAAAGCTCAGGAGCACGGGATGTTTTTTAACGACCAGCATTCTGGAGTCCTCCAGGAAGTGGTGATGCCCTCCTATTCAGCACCCCAGGCAGCGAGGAGCGACGTAGCTGTTGTCCGTTATCAGCCTCCCCCAGAGTATAGCCTGACTAGGTAATGTTGAACTCCTTGTCATCTTATTGCCTTCCTTTCAATCTTTTGGCGGAGGTTTTGCTTCTTTTCTAAAGTTAAGTAAGACTCCAGACTCGGGGTGGTTTTCAATAGGGCTGGGAGATATATTGATATATCATCCATATTGTGACAGTGGTTTCATAATTTGGGACCTGGCAATGTGTTGCAAATCATGACGTGTGTTAGGGCTGGGCGGCATATCATCCAAAACTAGTTTGAAGTCCATACCATGATAGCAGTTTCATAATTTTTGACCTGGCAATATATTGCAAATCATGTGCGTGTGTGCATGCAATGCAAAAATCATGATGCGGGAAAAGCCGTGAAGCCAGCCAATGCTTTTACATAGCTCCATCTTTATTTCAGGTGTTGTGATATTTCAGTACAGTTGTACCTTAGTTTTCGAACAGCTTAGTTCTCAAACGTTTTGGCTCCACCGCAAACCTGGAAGTGACTCTTCCGGTTTGTGAACTGTTTTTGGAAGCCGAACGTCCGATGGGGCTTCTGCAGCTTTCGATTGGCCGCAGGAGCTTCCTGCAGCCCATCAGAAGCAGCACTTTGGTTTCCAAATGTTTTGGAAGTCGAACGGACTTCCGGAATGGATTCCATTCGACTTCCAAGGTACAACTGTATATCACAATGTTTAGCTGGTGATATACTGCGATGTTGAAAACCGAATATCGCCCAGCCCTGATATTATGCAGTAGTGCAACAACTCTTAACTACTGTACATAACATAATCTCCTCACCTACTTCTCTCCCCACATGAACCCTAAATGTGCTCCAGGGGTTCCCTCCACATTTTGGAGCAGATTTAGGCAGGTTGCAGGGAGAGGAGCAGGTGGGCAAGTTACATTGTCCAGCTCAAAGCCATTGGCTCTAGAATAATACTGCCCCAAAGGGCAAAACAAACCTTTTGTGTATGCTTGTGTACTTTGTAGATGTGCAGCAGGAGTGTGGTGCTTATTCCTCTTCTTGCATGCTTTCCCTCCCTCCTCCTCCCCACCACCACAATCCTATCGCTGAGTATCTTCCCTCTACTTGATGTGGTGAACATGCAACTGGGACCCAGAGGAGTTAGAATCCCAGGAGAGAAGCAGTGGGCAAAGGGGTGGGAATTGCTTCTCCCTGTTCTCCCACCTCTGCAACACGATGCCTTCCTCCTGCTGTCTTTGTAATGGGAAAAGCATTGGGTATATTTGTAGGCCACACTCCCAGGTTCAAGTGGGGGCAATGGGCAGTAAGCTCTGCGCGCTGAGTTTTTGGATCAGGTCCATGGTGCTTTGCAGCAATACGTTTCCTGAAATGGCAACCTGGGACACAGGCCCTCGTGGCTCCTTGGCTGCTGGTGTTGTGTTGCTGAAGCGTTTGCATTCCATCTGATCAGCACATGTTTTGAGTCTCGGGCAACAACATACGGAGAGTTGGGTGTGCGTTTTTCCAGCCAGAAAAGCACGGCTTTCAAGAGAAATGCGAAAAGCCCTCTTTATGTAAGCGAGGTAGCAACAAGGGAATGAGGAGAAGGAAAGGAAAAACAGGGTCAGCTTCGGGTTACAGTCTCAGGAAGTTGTAAGAGGATTCCATCTGCAAGTCTCCTTTCAGGCGGAGGATTTTCCAGGTGTCAGGCACATGGATGCCGTGCGCCTCACGCTCCAGTCTCAAGCCATGTGTGCTGAATGGGACATCTCCTCCGGTTGTGTAAAGACCAAACCAGACACGACGTCAGGAAATCTCTAATCAGATTTCCTGAATGTGTGTGCTTTTAAGATAAAAGCGCCATAGCCCAGTGGTCAAGCACATGCTCTTCATGCAGATATCTCCATGGCACCCCCAGTTAGAAGGATAAAGTACATTGGTACCTCGGGTTAAGTACTTAATTCGTTCTGGAGGTCCGTACTTAACCTGAAACTGTTCTTAGCCTGAAGCACCACTTTAGCTAATGGGGCCTCCTGCTGCTGCCGCATCGCTGGAGCATGATTTCTGTCTCATCCTGAAGCAAAGTTCTTAACCCGAGGTACTATTTCTGGGTTAGCGGAGTCTGTAACCTGAAGCGTATGTAACCTGAAGCGTATGTAACCCGAGGTACCACTGTAGCTGGGTCAGGTGTGGGACGCTTTGGCCCACAAAATATTGCTGGCTTGGAAGTCCCATCAGCCTCAACAAGCGTGGTCAGGGATGATGGGAGTTGTAGTTCAGCAAAATCTGGAGGGCCAAAGGTTCCTCACACCAGATGGTAGTAGATCCAGGGCTCTTTTTTTCTTCAACTGGAACTGAGTTCTGGCACCTCTAAGAGAATGAGGAAGGTGTTCATGGTGAGTTCCGGTACCTCTCCCCCCCCGAAAAATAGCACTGAATGTAGTCTTCTCTGCCTGACTTCCTAGAGAGTCTCTGTTTGTCAGAGAAGTCAATACTGGGCTAGTGGGAAAAATTATTTGACCTAGTATAAAACAACTTCCTATATTTTGGGTGGGAGGGGGGTAGATCTATTAGAAGCATCCGGAGGTGATTTACCGTATTTTTCGCTCCATAAGGTGCACCGGACCATAAGGTGCACCTAGTTTTTAGAGGGGGAAATCAAGAAAAAAAATCTTGCGCGCAGCCTGTCCACTTCTCCCAGAGCTTCTGGGGCTGCCGGGGGAAGCCCGGGTTCCCCCTCCCCCAGCCCCAAAGAGCAAAGAAGCCAAGACTGCGAGTGGGATGGATCCCGCCCGCTGTCTTGGCTTCCTCTTTAGCCGTGCGCAACTTCTCCAGCCGGGAGAGGCTGCGCGCAGCTATGGCAATACCCCCACCTCCCACAAAAGCCCACAGGAGCCGCGCACCCTTTAAGGAGCACGCGGCTCCTGCGGGCTTTTCTACGAGGAGGGAGAAGGGACTGACTGGCCGCGTCAGTCCCTTCTTCCTCCTGGGGAAAAGCCCCCAAGAGCCGCACGGAGCTTGTGTGCGGCTCTTGGGGGCTTTTCCTGCCTGCCTCCCCCCGGCATTCGCTCCATAAGATGCACACACATTTCCCCTTACTTTTTAGGAGGGAAAAAGTGCGTCCTATGGAGCAAAAAATGCAGTATATCAGGAAATTTATATCAGGTGATTTATATCAAAACACCTGTCTCTGCAGCTGCAATCTGATTCAAGGACCTCCACAGCTGTTTTGACCTACAAGGGGTGCCAGTCAACGCGGGGGGAAACAGTATGACACTGAACCTTGCGTGATTTCGATTCATCTGCTCACCTAGGGGAACTGGCAACTCACCCTAGGCAAGCATCAAATGGCAATGGAAGATTATATATATATAAAAAACCTTTACAATGGAAATGCTGCTGCTTATTTGGTTCAGGGTTAGTTGTTTAAAAATAAGCTGTCGAAAGAGGCTGGCTATTTGCTGGATGTTTTTTTGCTGGCGAGAGAGACTGGCTATTTGCTGGCGGGGAGAGTTAGTTCTTTCTAAAATGGGTTGGCTTGCTAGGGTGAGGTGTGTCAGTCGCCTTGTACGGACAGGCTGAGACTCTGCAGTTTATATATACAATCTGAGGGAAAGGCTTCAAAGGCAGATCTGGGACAAATGTGGTTTGTAAACAGGGGAAGAGGCACTATTCATCCCGAAGAGTAACATGTTTAACAGCTGCACATCTAAAGGAGCAATGCAAACCTCAAAGAAAGGTTCGCTGGCACGTTCGCATGAGGCCATGACTATTTCAGCCCAACCTATGCAGAACACAGTCCCCTATTTAGTGCAGAGCACAAGGCCTGGTTCTGTTCTTCTGGCTAGGAGCAGGACTGTGCTTGCTTGTGTTTTCCACATGATTGCAGATAACGTGGCTGCATGCACAGTTATACCTTTAAAGGATATTCGAAGCACATATCCCCATCAGAGAATTATGGGCACTTGGGTTTGTTAAGGCTTGCTGGGAATTGTAACTCTATGAGGTGTAAACTACAGTGCCCAGAATCCTTTGAGGCAAAGAATGTCCTTCAAATGTGTTTTAAAGGTATACTGTGTACTCAACCACATGTTGTGGAATTTAGTTCCCTGAGAGTCTCAGCATTCTTTTTAAAAAAACACCACCAACCCCACCAATTGCTGCCTGTTGTTGCAGAGACAGGCTTGAAAAGAGTCTGGCAAATTCCCGCTGAAATTTCAGCTGCCAGAGAAAACTTGCTGAATAAGCTTTCCTAGTGGTCAGTAAGATTTTCCAGAATTCAGTATTTCTGGATAGAGAACTTGAGAGAAAGTCGCCTCCTGCTCTTTTGCATTCCCTCCCTTGTCTGCAACTAACACCTTTCCCCATATTTGTCCCATGCTGACTTCTCCCTTTCCTTACCCTCTGCTTTGTTGTCTCTCCAACTACTGGAAGTTGGATTGTAAAGTCCTTGGGGCAGAGACTTTTCCTTAAAAAAACAAAGTTACTCCGTACATACATAGTGCTATATAGATGTCGAGTTATATCGGTAACTAATATTATTATAACTGGTGGGACCTGCAACAAAATGTTGCAGTATGGAGTGCTCCCATCCACTACTTCCACCCTTTCCCATCCCTTGCCCCCAAAAGTATCCTGTGGTCGCACAGCATGCTCAGTCTTCATTCGGCTGTTCTCTCCTCCCCGCCCCTCAGAATTCCTTTTGAACTTTTTAAAAAGTCTGCTGATACCTCCCTCTTGTGTGCTGGTGGTACTGTTTTGGCTACATAAAAATCCACACTTGGGGAAAGTGTTTCACTGTTCATGTATGGGGTAGAGGTAAAGGGACCCCTGACCGTTAGGTCTAGTCATGGACGACTCTGGGGTTACGATGCTCATCTTGCTTTATTGGCCGAGGGAGCCGGCGTACAGCTTCCGGGTCATGTGGCCAGCATGACTAAGCCGCTTCTGGAGAACCAGAGCAGCACACGGAAACGCCGTTTACCTTCCCACTGGAGCGGTACCTATTTATCTAATTGCACTGCGTACTTTGGAACTGCTAGGTTGGCAGGAGCAGGGACCGAGCAACGGGAGCTCACCCCGTCGTGGGGATTTGAACCGCCGACCTTCTGATCGGCAAGCCATAGGCTCTGTGGTTTAACCCACAGCGCCACCCACGTCCCATTCATGTATGGGATACTAAGCACCAATAAGCAGTCACTTCTGGCAGACTGACTGCTCACACTGCCGATGATCTGATTAATCTGTTCCCACCACTCATCTGTTTCCCCCTCCCATACAGCCGTCAGTGCCAGTCATCTTTTCCAACCCTGCAACAGCAGCACAGCCCGATGTCCTCACAGGCCTCCTCTCTTACTGGCCCACTGCACTCTGCCTCTTTGCCGCCCCTCTCGATGGCCATGGCGTCTCAGTCCCTGCCTGCAACTCCGCCGAGCCAGCAGCAGGAGCAGCCGCTCCCACCAGATGCCTTCACTATAGTCCAGCGAGCCCAGCAGATGGTGGAGATGCTCTCCGACGACAACGAGGCCCTGCAGAAGGAGCTGGAGGGCTACTATGAGAAAGCAGATAAACTCCAGAAGGTGCGTGGTGTGGTTGAGTGGGACTGGGCTTTGCGTCTTGATCCTCTTTGGTGACACAAGAAAAGTGTCCTGCGCCACTTGCTGATGAGGATGAACAGCACTGCCTGGTTTGGCCCAGAATATGATCAATTTAGGGACACGTCTAAGTTGGAACTTCTATAGTGCAGCGGTCTGGGACCCAGCAAATGTCCAATTCAATAGCATGGTCTGAAGGCACGTGAGGCTGCTACCTAAGCAGGTCCAGGTCTGGTGAGTGCTTGGATGGGAGACTGCATGGGAACCATGTGAGTGCTGCTTTGCATTCCATGATGGAAGGAAAGTGGGATATTTCACTGCGTATACTGCTTTGATGTCCTTTGCAGGACATTCTTGGGAGAAGAAAAGGCTAAGGAGCACTTAAGGCGGTTGGGTGGTGTCTTGTACAGCTCCTGCAGCCAAGCTGGTGCCAAACGGATTGCTCTGATTTCCTTTAGACCACATCAGCGAGGCCGGGAGGGGGTCTTGTTGTCTGGACAGCCCAGGACCTCTAGACACACTGCCCAAGCTTGCAGCCCAGAGAGGTTATTTCGCTGCAGCCCATAACACCAATAGGTATTTGCATGCCTAGCCACAACAAAAAGTGAATAGGTAAAGGTAAAGGGACCCCTGACCATTAGGTCCAGTCGTGGCCGACTCTGGGGTTGCGGCGCTCATCTTGCTCTATTGGCCGAGGGAGCCGGTGTACAGCTTCTGGGTCATGTGGCCAGCATGACTAAGCCGCTTCTGGCGAACCAGAGCAGCACACGGAAATGCCGTTTACCTTCCCACCAGAGCGGTACCTATTTATCTACTTGCACTTTGACGTGCTTTTGAACTGCTAGGTTGGCAGGAGCAGGGACCGAGCAACAGGAGCTCACCCCGTCACGGGGATTCGAATCGCCGACATTCTGATCAGCAAGTCCTAGGCTCTGTGGTTTAACCCACAGCGCCACCCGCTTCTCCAAAAAGTGAATAGTGGTATATAAATACTGGATAATATGATGTGATGGAAGTTGGGGGAACTGCTTGACTTGGTAGAATTCCCATGACCAGCAGTGGCTCTCCATAGAGTTGCTGAGAATTAAACCTGGGTCTGCCTGCTGGATAGCATGAGCTGCACCACTGAGCTGCGTCCTCTTCCATTGCTGGAGTCGCTTTCTTCTGTCATGGCTGGGGAGCTGGTTTCCTTCAGCAGCAGTAGGATTATTAATGCCTGTGGAGGAGTTGTATTTTTGGCATCATTGTAGGAGAATTCTTCCTGCGGCACAGTGCTAGTGTGAAAGTTGGCACACGCTTCTGGCCACTGCACAAACCTCTCTTTCAAAAGTTTCAAGTCAATGATTGACATGCATCCCTGCCCAGCTTTTAATGGAAAGTTGTATGCTCTCCCTTATTCTCTCTCTCTCTCTCTCTCTCTCTCTCTCTCTCTCTCTCTCTCTCTCTCCTCTTCCTCATACACACAAACATTTCAGTTTGAAATAGAAATCCAGAGGATTTCAGAAGCCTATGAGGACTTGGTGAAGACCACCACCAAGAGGGAATCGCTGGACAAGGCAATGCGTAACAAGCTGGAAAGCGAAATCAGGCGTCTCCATGATTTCAACCGGGCCTTACGTGGTATGTTCTTTTTACGAAAGGTATTTTCATTCCCCTCCCATTGCATTTCTGTTTCGTTCCTGAACTATCATATTCCAGATAGCCACGTCAAAGATTCTGACCGAGCAAACTGTTTTCCTGTAACAACGTTTAGAGGTTATTGTTGGTAGAGCCATTAAAATATATATATATTCCTGGACCTGGTTGAAAAATTGTGCTGACGTCTCTCTCCCTACCCACCTTAAATTATGTGGAATGTGGTGCCCTCAATGGCTACCGCAGCCTTGCTTCAGACACAATACCTAACCCACAGTTTACTGCCACACTACAGGAACAAGGCTAAGCAAGCCTTGGACTCTTTGTACAGCCATGAGATTGAAAATCTTTGCTCCCGTTTTCAGTTGACTTCAGTTGTCTGCTGCTTTATTGAAACTGAGAACTGTCCCACCCCCTTCTTACGCACATCAGTCTCAGCTAGCATGCCGGTGCTGAGCAGTGATGGGCTGTCATTGTCAAAGAACATCTGGTGGGCAACAGAGTGGGGAAATACAGATTAGGGAATCAAGCCAGGATTGTAAGCCAGATGTTTCTGGACCTCCTGTTGGTCCTCCTTGTCTTTATAGACAAATCTCTTTGGAATTATGTTATAACAAAGTCCCTGCTAGAATACAAGGGCTGTTCTTTTTGATAGAAGTCCAACTCCCCCTGCAAATCAATTTCATCTGTCCTCAGGTGTTGCTACCAAATTTTAACAGCTTCAGTTACAAGTAAAAGAATAAAAAACCCCAAAGTTTTTAAAAAACAAAAGAGTGAGAAGTCCATATTTTAATATTGAAATTGTTTGGTGTTTCATAACCAGGACTGCTGGAGAGCACCAACTCTATGAGGGAACATGAGCATCCATAGGGAAGTTTGTATAGAGAAATATATTCCGGCCCTCAGACAGAGACCCTACAGAACAGAGTCCCTCCTTTGGGGGGTGGAAACGCAGGCTGGCCTTCCCTGTTTTTCAGGACGATCTCCATTTCTTTCATTATCGTATAGCTGGCTTCCCTTTCCCAAGATTCTTTTTATATCATGGCGCATGTGGCAGGTCTCTTTATTCTCTGAGGTTGGCCATATGTATATGTTTATTCTTAAGCTGTTTCCCCTTCTCTGTGTAGAGCGATTGGAGGCTGCCAACAGGCAGCTAGCCAGCAGAGAGTTTGATGGGAACGAAGATAAGGCAACAGAGGGTCTTTATGCCTCTCAGAGTGAGTACCACATTGATATATAGCGGAGATATGCATGTTCACTATGTGTGGTTTGTCAGAGAATGGAAGAGGTGTTTGTTTGTGCTATGTTTTTAGCAGTTTTTTTAAAAGTTGGAGGCCGGTTTCTTTCCAGCGGACTTGTTTTACCATGTTGCTTAGTTGGAGTTAGTGGTAGGTGGTAGGCAAGGGGGGAATTTAAATAAATATGTTGATGTCAGGGCAGATTCTCAAGAGAAATATGCTTCATAGCGAAATGGAATTCTTCTCTCCTTTTGGGATAATTCTGAATTCACACAGGTACAAATAAAAGGAGAACAAGGCCCTTGGTTTCATGAGTTTTGAACAGGCCTTCAAAGGGATATTTCGTACCACAGCTCTGAGGGAACCACTTCTCAGGTCTAGGGGATGGAGAAGAAACTTAGGTTTGTTTGCATTTAAATTGAGAAACTCCGTAATTCGCGCATCTTGAAGTAATACGTGAACTGAAGCATGGCTAGTCTTTGAAATTCACACTTTTTTGAATTTTGCAATGCTGTTCTGCAACCATTTTGTACTATTAGGGGAAAATGTGCATGGAAATGCATATATTAGTGAGAATAACACCTGAAAATGCATTATATTAGAAGAAATAGCTTAACAGTCACAGCAAAATGTCTTTGCCTACCTAAATTAAGCTGCTGAAATGGGGGGGGGGGGAGAGACCTAACTAGGAATGGAATTTAAATGACTGTGAGTTCAGTTCAGTTAGTTCTGATATTGAAAACAAACCTTCAGGCTAAGAATATGCCCAGAGGCACTCTTGTTCTGTAATTCTATCTCTATGTCTCTTGTGCCCAGCTCTGGTTGTTAGATCTTGGTGTTCTGGTCAACGAACAAGTAGATTTAAGCATCCCGAAGTCTGCCCACCCCTGTTTCAAATGAGCTGTTCAGTGTTAGGTTGCTGTTGTTATAAATTACCTGTCCTTCACCTGAAGGTGGTTGTTGTTTAGTCGTGTCTGACTCTTCGTGACCCCATGGACCAGAGCATGCCAGGCACTCCTGTCTTCCACTGCCTCCCGCAGTTTGGTCAAACTCATGCTGGTAGCTTCGAGAACACTGTCCAACCATCTCATCCTCTGTCGTCCCCTTCTCCTTGTGCCCTCCATCTTTCCCAACATCAGGGTCTTTTCCAGGGAGTCTTCTCTTCTCATGAGGTAGCCAAATTATTGGAGCCTCAGCTTCAGGATCTGTCCTTCTAGTGAGCACTCAGGGCTGATTTCCTTAAGAATGGATCAGTTTGATCTTCATGGGACTCTCAAGAGTCTCCTCCAGCACCACTGAAGGCAGTGGGGCAATTAAAACACAGTGTTAAAAACAATTGAAAGCAACTCACAATCACAGAAATGAGGTGGGTCCTAAAAATATAAATGTCGTATTGGCAGCAATTCTTGTTGTGCATTATAGTTATTGCACCATTGTGTTTAGATTGTTTGTTATCCGTGAGCCTCTTTGAGCACAAATACATTTCAGAAAATGCAGTTTATAAATAAACTGAATGTGACTATGACTAATCCTGGTTCTTTTCCGTGAAAGGAGCTCAGGTTTCAGGGCTAGGAAAGACCGATGGCTAGTTACAACAGGGGCCCATGCCTCTATGGGTAGGTCTGTGCCAGGGGTTCAGGCGCCACGTGTGCAGCCTTGATAACACCCTCACATAACTCTAAAGTACACCCCTCCATCAGCTACCCTGTGGAGCACAGCTCAGAGTCACCTAAATTGGCATTTCAAGTGCATAACAAGCCTCCTTTTGCTGTCCAGGGCAGACTGTAAAAAAGCAGGTCCATGTATCCCCCTTTTCTGCCAAGGGCTAAATTGAGGGCCAGTGTGGTGTAGTGGTTAAGAGCGGTAGTCTCGTAATCTGGTGAACTGGGTTCACTTCCTCACTCCTCCACATGCAGCTGCTGGGTGACCTTGGGCCAGTCACACTTCTCTCAAGTCTCTCAGCCCCACTCACCTCACAGAGTGTTTGTTGTGGGGGAGGAAGGGAAAGGGGAAAGGAGAATGTTAGCTGCTCCGAGACTCCTTCAGGTAGTGATAAAGCGGGATATCAAATCCAAACTCTTCTTCTTCTTCTTCTTAACCTTGAGGACAGTCTGTCAAGGGCCATATTCTTAGGGTGGGCAGGGCTAGAGCCGGAGGTAGTTGGGGCTGTTCCAGAACCAAAAGTGGACTGGGCGCTCCCTTTGTTTGTCTCTCTGCCTCATTTTGCTACCCATTTCCCCATTGTCCCCCCCCTGCACCCTATATGAAATCATAGAGTTGGAAGGAACCCCAAGGGTCATCTAGTTCAACCCCACTGCAATTCAGGAATCTCAACTAAAGCATCCATGACAGATGACTAGCCATGGCCGCACTAAGCTCATAGGGACCACCAGCACCAACAGGGTTCTTTGGCTGGTCCCTGCACTGTCAACGCTGCTGTTACTGTAAACAAGGGGGAGCCAGGGTGCCCAATGCAAAAATTAAAAGGGCTGAGCAGAGCCCCCAACCCTCTCCCTGATGACCTCAGGTCCACCGGGACTGGGATTGCCCTGGTGGGGGTCCAACAGGAGGTCCAGAGGCCTCTGGAGCTGAACAGAACACAGCGGAGCCACCCCCACCCCAGCCAAGCACTCAGCAGCCTCCACCGCTATGGCCACTGCTGCTGCTGCAGCCATCGAGAGAGAGAGGTAGGAGGGGACCGGGAGAACTAGGGAGGCCGCGTAGAAGCCTGCAGCCCACTCCAAACCCGGCGCGACCCAACCTCTCTGGTGACTGGTGTGAGGGAAGTGGGCAGGGGCCCAACAGAGAGCTCTGCAAAGGGAATCACCCCAGGAGAAGACGGGCACTGTTTGGGCCCTCCCTTGCCAGCAGAGGGGCGCCACTGGTGGCTAGAAATGGACACAGGATCCAAAACTTTTAATTTCTTTCATATATATATATACACACACACATACATACACACACACACGCATATAGAGAGAGAACATATATATATATATTCCTTTAAATATATAAATGATGTTGTTGTTGTTGTTGTTTAGTCGTGTCCGACTCTTCGTGACCCCATGGACTAGAGCACGCCAGGCACTCCTGTTTTCCACTACCTCCCGCAGTTTGGTCAAACTCATGTTCATAGCTTCGAGAACACTGTCCAACCATCTCATCCTCTGTCGTCCCCTTCTCCTTGTGCCCTCCATCTTTCCCAACATCAGGGTCTTTTCCAGGGAGTCTTCTCTTCTCATGAGGTGGCCAAAATATTGGAGCCTCAGCTTCAGGATCTGTCCTTCCAGTGAACACTCAGGGCTGATTTCCTTTAGAATGGATAGGTTTGATCTTCTTGCAGTCCATGGGACTCTCAAGAGTCTCCTCCAGCACCATAATTCAAAAGCATCAATTCTTCGGCAACCAGCCTTCTTTGTGATCCAGCTCTCACTTCCATACATCACTACTGGGAAAACCATAGCTTTAACTATACGGGCCTTTGTTGGCAGATATATAAATATATTCTTTTAAATAAATAAAGGAATATATATTCCTCTGTCTGTCTGTCTGTCTGTCTGTCAGTCTGTCTGTATCTGTGACAGTCCTGGGCATCCGGCTTGGGCCTCATAAAGTTCCACCGTTTCTCTTTGTAACACAGCATTCACTGAACAACGCTTCTGTTCACTCATCGCTATAAATATTGGTGCGGACACTTTCACTGCCCTGTCAGTTCACGACCTGTGTGCAGTGGTAGTTCCTTGAGACAGGGTCATATAAAATGGCAGGGATGTTTAGCATGCCTAGTTCATCTGGGCCAGACAGCTAAATGCTACAAATAGGAGAGAGAAGTATTTCCAAGAATAGAAAGAAAGGTTGTATACAGGACCTCCTTAAGCAGGTCAAATTTATTTATATACTCTCATCCCTCTAGCCAGAGCTGAGGGTATATCATGTAAGCCGTGGCCCCTGAGGTGGAAGGGAAGCCTGGTTTGCTAGAGTGGCTGGTAAACGATCCACAGATTATGTTTGGTTTGTTGTGTCTTCGAAAGGGAGAATGCAAACTAAGGAACACCCATGCTTGGGTGAACATTTAGGTCTTGTATCCTAAGGAAACATTGCCATTGGATTTAGCTCATCCGCTTTAGAGTCCAAAACAAAGCTCTAAAGGCAGTGGTGATGGAGGAAGAGACTGCGTGGTCTGCATGCAGGACCTGGGCTGTCAAGGAACAGGCCTCTAAAATCTTAAGGATCTGTGCTGTGTCGCCGTGATCCTATTGAGGGTTCTTTCACTTCGTCAAGGTCGAGAGGCCTCTGGGTAAATGTCTACTGCTGAATGAGCAGGCGAAAGGCTATCTGGTAACCCGCAGCCCGTCCCAGGGCATGACAGCTATTCTGGAATGTTTGGCAGCAGCTGAAGTGATGTGGATTCCTGTGCATTTAAGTGACTCGCAGCAAAGCTCACTTGAATGGCGCATGGCTAAATAAAGCACAGCAACACCCACTGGGAAAGGATGTTGGTACTAGCGAAGCATCTTCAGAATCAACAGCTGGCATAAAAGAGGAGTATAAAAGTATCCCACCGATACTTACATTTTTAAGAGCCAGTGGGATCTAATGAATGGTGTGTCAGGACTGAACCAGCGAAGCATCAGTTTGGCAAACTTCTCCATGAATCATGTTGGATCACTTTGGACCCAGCTGTTCTCTCTTAGCCCAGGGATGAGGAACCTTTGACCCTCCAGTTGTTGTTGGACTCTCCTCAGCCCCTAGCCAGCTCCCTTGCCTTAAAGGTAAAGGGACCCCTGGCCATTAGGTCCAGTCGTGGCCGACTCTGGGGTTGCGGCGCTCAACTTGCTTTATTGGCTGAGGGAGCCGGCGTACAGCTTCCGGGTCATGTGGCCAGCATGACTAAGCCGCTTCTGGCGAACCAGAGCAGTGCACGGAAATGCCGTTTACCTTCCTGCCTGAGCGGTACCTATTTATCTGCTTGCACTTTGATGTGCTTTCGAACTGCTAGGTTGGCAGGAGCAGGGACCGAGCAACGGGAGCTCATCCCGTCGCAGAGATTCGAACCGCTGACCTTCTGATTGGCAAGTCCTAGACTCTGTGGTTTAACCCACAGCACCACCCACGTCCCACTCCCTTGTCTTAGTGCTCACCTATTTTGCTGGGTAGTTGTGATGATAAAATGGAAGGAGAGACCTGGGCTTTACAAGCCAAAGAATCAAGCAAATATACATTTTAAAGTTCTAGCTGCGAAATAGCTTGGCTTTTCAGCAGCGGAAGAGGCTGCAATTAAGGTGATTGAAAAGCACATGTAGTTTCACAGGGATATGGGCAAATACAGCAGCTGGGCTTTAATCTGAAGGCCTTCCAAGACTCACCCAGCTAGCTCTAAAGTAAGAAGCGTGAAATGGTGTCTGAAAGAACAAGAGCACAGCAATAGTGGTCCTTAGTTCAAATAGGTTCCATAATGAATGACAGGGAGTAAGATAGCCTGCCAGGGGCATGTCTAGGGGTTGACCAGGTTGGCCCCTACCTAGGACACAGACCCAGGGAGATGCAAAATTGCCTCTTTTTGAGTTTATTTCTGTTCAGTGTCCCTCCTGGGTCCGTGAGAGCTTCTGATGCAGCTGGCCGTTGCCTCCCTTTCCAGACAAAGAACATTTGAAAGAGAAAGAGAAGCTGGAAATGGACTTGGCAGCCCTGCGCTTGACCAGCGAGGAGCAGCGAAGGCACATCGAAATCCTGGACCAGGCGCTCAACGGTGCACAAGCCAAAGTCGTCAAGCTAGAAGAGGAGGTAACACCAGACCGTCCTTCAGTTCAGTTCACCCACCCTACACTTTTCTTTCTCTCTCCCTCTCTCTCACAGACATGCCTGATCTGCACTCTACATTTAAATCTCTATGACACCACTTTAAACACTCATGGCTTCACCCTAAGAATTCTGGGAGCTGTAGTTTGTTAAGGGTCCTGAGAGTTGCCAGGAGAGCTGTATTCCCTTCACAGAGCTACAATCCCCAGAGTTTCCTGTGAAGAGGGATCAATGAAGGCGAACTCACTGAATTCCCCATGATTTGTTGGGAGAAGGCATGGCTGTTTAAACTGGTTTAAGAGTGCTTTAAATGTATGGTGCGGTTTTGCACAAAGACATTTTACTGTTAACATTCACATCTGCAGCATGATCCTAACCGTGTTTTCAAAGCAATGCCGCAGAGCTCAGCGGGGCTTACTTCCAAGTAAGTATATTTAGGGTTGCTGTCTTACAGCAGCTGCTGAATATTTTCCAGCACATGATATGCTTGGTTGCTAGAAACCAAGGAAATATGAAACTCCTCCCTAAACATCCTAATCTAAGAGAGTATGACAAGCCACCATTATTGACAAATCAACACAAAATCTGAAATTACTTAGAGGAGCAAAACTCACGGACATTTTCACAGGAGAACAATGGGACCATTAGCTACACAAATAGACCAAATATCAGTCTGAAAGGTTTATGTTAATTTATGGATTATATAATGAGGTACTTTGCATTTAATTTTTGGTCTCTTACAAGGTCCACTACCATTCTAAGGGGATCAAGTTGGGAGGTTCACTAGAAATAAGGTTAGTGGCATTTGTTAGGGTTAAACAACTTTGTCAGATTAGAGGTAGGGATCTCTAGAGTACTGAGGCCCCCTTCTCTGGCCACTGAACGCCCCCCCCCCGAATAGTTGTCAATCTTTCCACCATGGTCACGAGGTCTGGCAACTTGGTTTTTTTAAAATGAAAGCTTAGAGTCTTAGGCTCTTGCCTCCTATCATATTGAGAGAGCAGTAAACAACAGAGTCAAACAAACAGCCTCTTTAGTTTAGGACTGAAAGCTTTAACTGGCAGCAGCACGTCAACGCTTGGGATTTGCTTCGAATCATGAAATTGTAGAGTTGGAAGGGGTCCCAAGGATCATTTAGTCCAACCTCCAACCTCCTGCAATGCAGGAGGGACACAGATGGCACTGTGGGTTAAACCACCGAGCCTAGGACTTGCTGATCAGAAGGTCAGCGGTTCGAATCCCCACGATGGGGTGAGCTCCCGTTGCTAAGTCCCTGCTCCTCCCAACCTAGCAGTTCAAAAGCACGTCAAAGTGCAAGTAGATAAATAGGTACCGCTCCAGCGGGAAGGTAAACGCCATTTCTGTGCGCTGCTCTGGTTCACCAGAAGCGGCTTAGTCATGCTGGCCACATGACCCGGAAGCTGTACGCCGGCTCCCTCGGCCAATAAAGCGAGATGAGCGCTGCAACCCCAGAGTCGGCCACGACAGGACCTAATGGTCCCTTTACCTTTACCTTTTACCTGCAATGCAGGAATCTCAACTAAAGCATCCATGACAGATGGATCACCTTGGTGTCTGAGATCTGGAGGTGACCGGATGCAGGGACTTAACCTCCATAAAACTTACACTGTTTTCCACCGTGTGCGAGCTCTGTGATTTCACCCTCCTCTTCCTCCTAATGTCTCTGTTTTCCGCCTGTGGCAACCCTGCTGCCCTCCAGCTGTGCAAGAAGCAAGCTCACGTCGAGAAGGTGGAGAAGCTTCAGCAGGCCTTGACCCAGCTGCAGGCAGCCTATGAGAAACGGGAGCAGATGGAGCGCCGCCTGCGCACCAGGCTGGAGAGAGAGCTGGAATCCCTGAGGATGCAGCAGGTAAGGCAGAACTTGGGGTGTTGCTTCTCCCAAAAGCGCCTCTCGGTTCAAACCTATGGCAACCTGCCATCAAGGTCAGCTGCGGTGGCCGTTGTGTTGGTGCTGCCCCCCTCCAACACGACGGTCGCTGCACCTTGCGGGGTCGGGAGCAGTCGGTTTGGGGGCTCTGTGGACACGCTGGCAGAGCCAGTCTGGCATTGCTGAAGGTGCCTGCAGAAATATACCTGTCCAAAGCTCTGCTGCACCACACCTGTGATGTGTCAAAGCCCACAGTTCAAGCTGGGGTCCCTCCCATAAATGTAGCACGCAAGTACCACACCATTGCTGGGCCGCTGGTTTGTTAGTTTTGGGTTTTTTTTGTAGGATAGTATCATTACAGGTAGGGACGCAGGTGGCGCTGTGGGTTAAATCACAGAGCCTAGGGCTTGCCGATCAGAAGGTCAGCGGTTCAAATTCCCGCGACGGGGTGAGCTCCCGTTGCTCAGTCCCTGCTCCTGCCAACCTAGCAGTTCGAAAGCACATCAAAGTGCAAGTAGATAAATAGGTACTGCTCCGGCGGGAAGGTAAACGGCGTTTCTGTGCGCTGCTCTGGTTCGCCAGAAGCGGCTTAGTCATGCTGGCCACATGACCCGGAAGCTGTACGCCGGCTCCCTCGGCCAGTAAAGCGAGATGAGCGCCGCAACCCCAAAGTCGGTCACGGCTGGACCTAATGGTCAGGGGTCCCTTTATCTTTTCCTATCATTACAGGTGTTACCCTTTGGATTTGATCCCATACAGTTAGATCCAGACCAGCCACGCAGTCCTCTGCCGACCTACTCAGAAGGAAATCCCATTGAATTCAGCGAGTTTCACTGTTCATGGGTATAGGGGTTGTAGCCAAAATCAGTTGGCTGTAGTTCCCGTTGGTTTAGTTAGGAGCCAAGTTCAGCTGGCAGCCCATTGCCTGGGGAGTGTGGATCTGAAGGAAGACACAATTCGGCTTTCATCACTAGCTGCAAAGAACCCTGGGAACCATAGTTTGCTAAGGGTGCTCGGAATTGTAGTTATGTGAGGTGTAAACTATAGTTCCCATGATTCTTTGGGGGGCATGCTTCAAATATGTTTTAAATGTGTGCTTTGCAGGCAGCTCAAGGACCACTGGGAGACTACAGTGGTACCTTGGGTTAAGTACTTAATTCGTTCCGGAGGTCTGTTCTTAACCTGAAATTGTTCTTAACCTGAAGCACCACTTTAGCTAATGGGGCCTCCTGCTGCCGCCGTGCCACCGGAGTACGATTTCTGTTCTCATCATCATCATCATCATTTTATTTGTATGCCGCCTTTCCATAGTTAAAACAATGCTCAAGGCGGCTTACAACATGACAAGATTTACATAATTACCAACATAACAAAAGTCATAAACAATAAATAGAACACATCAAAAGTACACAACCAAATGGAAAAATTTTTCACATAAATCATAAAATCTAAAACTTAGAATACAGTATTAATATCAATCACAATTTAAAATGATATAGATAAAAAATAATAGCAGTTTTAAAAAACAAAACAAAAGCGGAGGCCTCTCTGCCCAGCAGCAGCAGTAGTCCTTTATGGAGCCTGTCAGGCCCCGCCCCAAACCAGGTGGAGAGAAGCAGGTCAGTCCTTAGACTTCTGATCATCAGGCCAGTCATTCTCCACCTAACCTAGTTTGTGAAACACTTAGGCTAAAATATGGTAATTTCATGAGCTTCTTGGAGGTAGAATGTGAGATAAAATGCATTTGTTTATCACATTTATCAGATGGATTACTCTAGCAAGCAGTATGTAGGGGCCATCTGCTCATTGGAAGCCAATATTTTCTATTTGTCTTCAGATTAGAGAACAGCTCAAATCTAAACAGATACATGTTGTACAATTGCCTTTTATATGGCATTATTATATGGCATTATTTATCTTATAAGGGTGGTGCTGTGGTCTAAACCACTGAGCCTCTTGGGCTTGCCAATTAGAAGGTTGGCAGTTTGAATCCTCGTGATGGGGTGAGCTCCCGTTGCTCTGTCCCAACTCCTGTCAACCTAGCAGTTTGAAAGCATGCTAGTGCAAGTACCTAAATAGGTTCTCACCATGAAGCAAAGTTATTAACCCGAGGTACTATTTCTGGGTTAGTGGAGTCTGTAACCTGAAGCGTATGTAACCCGAGGTACCACTGTACATCTCCTGCCTCCCAGGAATGACATGACAGCAAGGGAGAGACCAGTCTGACCTAATATTTTGCCTAATAATAACAATAATTTATTTATACCCCGCCCATCAGGCTGGGTTTCCTTAGCCACTCTGTTGCTCCAATACTTGCTTTCCTCTTCCCTCCCTGTTCCTTTTTCCTCTTGTATCATGCCTAGTAAGTTGTGAGCCAGTAGGCAGGGGCTGCCCTCCTTTTTACAATCTCTGAAATGCCTAGAATATTTTTTTTTTTTGGTCCTTTGCTCATGTTTAATATTAATAATCCAACTTCTAGAGAGAGCTGTGGACTTCAAAATGCTGCTACAGTCAGATCAGTAGCATGTGATCTTGAGTTCTAGTACCATGCAGGCAAAAGAATTTCTGTATATCTACAATTTTCACATCATTCATTGGCTGAGCAGAAAAGGCTTTTGAACGTAAAATACAAATTTAAAACAACAACCAGCAATGTCATCGTGTTATTAGCCATAGGCCTGTGAAGCAAGCATGACATCTTGAACTTGCATAAACATCCAGCAAGTTAAAATCTACAGTGAGCCAGTCCTGCACAGGGACATCTGGAAAAGTCGTTTGGCTCAAGTTCCTTTTGAAATGTGGGAAGTCGCTTTCTGGTATATTAAAAATCTGGTGGATTCTTGTGGTTTGCACAGTCTTGCAAATCTTAGAAGCTAGGTTTTATTCACAAATTCCTGCAAATATGGAGCTTTCCAGGATTGAGCAGTTGCAGTTTTCTGAGATCTAATTTTTTTAAAAGTCCACATGAAGAGTCCCCAGGGGCACTCTCTCAGTTAAAAGCCGAAACTGGAAAACTCCCACTTGAGATGAGAGTCCACCTGTGTTTATTCAATCATTGGCTTATACTAATCCATTTGCCAAGCTCAGAAGACTCGTTTAGTGGGAGCAAATTCAACTAAATTCTACCAATTTAATGACTTGGCTGCGGGAAACGGCTCCTTTGATTCAATTACACGGCTTTTCTGCGAATGACTTGATGGGGACCTCGTTGTAGCTGCCAAATTGGAATTTAGAGGGTGCCTTCTGGATATTTTCATGCACAGATGAACTGGTGTAAAAACAGCACCCTGGCACGCCCTGGTAAATTTCAAGCCAGTTTGGAAAATTAATACGTTGGGTTTTGTTGACGTTTGCTCTAAGGAGAGCTTTCAACTTCACTGAGAACCCCCAACAAATGCCCTCAACTATTCTGGGTGGATGGCGTGAAGCCACACGGGAATATCATTTCCTCTGCAAGATTGGGTGGGGGATAATTTCCAGGACACTTATCCCCCCTTTAAAAATTCATTTTGTGATAAAGGCATTGACCCAGCTCAAGTTAGTCATCACTAAAGACCCACTGAGAGTTATAGGACGTGGAGCGAGGCGTGGCGGAACTTTCCCCATCGATTTCTGTGGGACTTTGTAATGACTGACGGTAGCTGGATCAGAGCCTGTGGCCCAAACTGGCCTGGGCTGAAGACGGGAGGAGGAGCTTGCCTTGTTTTGTAAAATGCCGTTAAATGTGCTGAGTGCAGGAAAGAAACTGCATCTGATCTTCTGATTATGGGATACCTATTAACTCAAGGGAGACAAATTCTGAAACAGCTATTTAAACACTCTTCTATTTATGGACTGTCAGGTCCTGGACAAGCCTTGCCCCATAAGCCATAAATACTTTCCCATGTGTCCCGCCCCGCTCCTGGCTTTTTAGATTATATGTAACACACTTTCTCTTCCTGGTGTAGTTTAGCTGGGACACTGACCTATATGCAGTGAAAGATACCCATGCTTGCCAGTTGAAATATGCCTTGTGTCAGCAGCTGGAATCCTGTATCTTAGATATGTTTTGACTTAGGGAGCAGGCGACCAGTTTATCCAGTGCCCATCCTGATTTGCCTGCTCAATGAGCATTCACCCTGATTTGTTTGCAGGCAATTGGATGCCATTGCATAAAAGCAAGCACTGCCCCATTCTGCCCAGTCCATTTCACCATCACTTTCCTTCCCGCGAGCAGTTTGATCTTTTAGGGAAGTGGGTCTGTGGTGCAAGAATCCCTCCCAGTCACCTATAATCTGCAACTCGAAATTGCCAGTTTGTGATTGAATCCCACCCAAAAATAGCTGCCCCTGGAATCCCCCTTATTGTGATGGCCAAATCAATTGCACAGAAAGGCATTTCTTTGATCTGGTTTGTCTGCCGATTTTAAAGAATTTTAGTTGGCTTAAGGTGCATATCACCAAAAGTTCAGCCTGCAGCCAAGCCCTAAGTACATGCAGCTGAAACAGCATATTATTTCTCCACTTAGCTTCCCTTCCTTCTCTGTTACAGCTATGTAAGATTTCAGATTGTAAGTTCCTCAGGGCAGGGGTCTGTCCTCTTGGGGGTTTTTTGTGGCATGCACGCTGTTGTGGTATATAAATAAAATCAAGTTCCATATAGATGCCACTTTCAAATATTGAAGGAAATGGGAACTAACTTAACTTTTTAATATGTGCTACTCTTTGTTAGGGACGCGGGTGGCGCTGTGGGTAAAAGCCTCAGCGCCTAGGGCTTGCCGATCGAAAGGTCGGCGGTTCGAATCCCCGCGGCGGGGTGCGCTCCCGTTGCTCGGTCCCAGCGCCTGCCAACCTAGCAATTCGAAAGCACCCCCGGGTGCAAGTAGATAAATAGGGACCGCTTACTAGCGGGAAGGTAAATGGTGTTTCCGTGTGCGGCTCTGGCTTGCCAGAGCAGCGATGTCACGCTGGCCACGTGACCCGGAAGTGTCTTCGGACAGCGCTGGCCCCCGGCCTCTTGAGTGAGATGGGCGCACAACCCCAGAGTCTGTCAAGACTGGCCCGTATGGGCAGCGGTACCTTTACCTTTACCTTTTACTCTTTGTGGGGGGGATGGATGGGGGGATTACTGGATGGGGGGATTACTGGGCCAGGGGAGCACAAAGAAAGTGCATTTACAGGAGAATGAGTCATGTGAAATGTTCCTTTCTTTCAAGTAACCACAGTGGTTCAGCAACTGGGGTGGAATGAGGAAGAAAACTACTGTACTTGTCTACAGTGGAATGCTTGCTCTCCCTGACCCCGGTTCTGACCACCCATATCAGAAGGAAAGTCTGGAAATCATTTAAAACCTTTTTGTTATCACTTCCTGTTGTCCATGGGACGGAATTCCTTTGGTCCACTTTTGGCAGCAGACTGACCTGATTCGATGTTCCCAGACTTGCTTCCCGGGTTGGAATTCAGCTATCGGATTATACAGTTCTCCGCTTTTGCCGTGTAGTTTTGATCCCCCAAAGTATGCACAAAAACCCACATTTTGCACAAAAATGCATTCAACGTGCATGGGGGCGGGGAATAAAAGCAGCGAAGCAACAGAAAATGCATATTTTACAGTGAAAGCGAGTACAGAATGCATAAAAATTTACATACGGATGTTTTGGTGCATTCTTTTGGAATGTCCACAAACCAGGACAAGTCAGACGTAGGACCCGAGTGTCAGCAAACAAAAGACACAGAACAGAGTTAAAGGTTTAACCCACAGCGCCACCCACGTCCCTTACAGAACAGGGTTACACTGATCCAAATTATGACACATTGCTTTCAAGTGCATGTCACAGAAGTCCAGCAGCTACTTTTCTTCTTTATAGTATCAGTGCAGTTCCACTTGTGGAGATTCTTCAGTCCCCAAGTCTTCGGTTTCCTCATATCTTCCTCAATCCAGGGGGGGGGGGGGAGAGAGAGACACACACCTTTTCCTGATCAGCGACTGAACTGTCAAAACAAGGGCATATAACGTTAGTGAGGACAACGACAACCTAAACGATCAAGGACTGCCTTCCTCTTTTAGTGGTGATGGGAAGCGACACAGCATGGAAATATTCCACTAAGCACCGCCCACTGGTGTGGATGGGAAATGGCAGAATTCCTATGAGAAACATGTGGACACGTGCATGCCAATGGCACACGCGAATCAGCCAACATCTGAACCAAATTGCTTGCAATATTAAGCGCTCTTTGTGGAAGCACTGCAATGCACACTGGGAAAAACAACCATCTTTTTTGGTTTTGACACTTCTCCATGTTTTGGAAAACAGTTCTCTCCTCAAATAAAATATCACCACATGTAAAGAAATTAATTTTAGGATAAAATGCATCTATAAGTGCATACAATACACTGAGATAAAATATGTATTTTGAGATGTATTTTGAGATAAAATGCAAATTTAAGTACGTGCTTTTGTTTAGATTTCTTTCTTTTTTAAAAAAGTAATCACAGATTAATGCAAAAAAGCGACAGAACCAATCTATCAATGAACACATTTGAAAATGGCACATGCCATAGACAGACTGATTTGTCCATCTTATATACACACACACAAAAAACACACCCTGTAAACTGAGCTTTTAGATGCTATATATAGAAAGGCAGGAGAAATATTGAAATGTATAATAAACAATAAACAGCTTAGTCTTCAAGGTGCTGCTGATCACATTCACACTATACATTTAAAGCCCTGTTAAGCCGCTTTAGCAGTTGTTTCAGCAGCGCAGATGCATCTAGCATCTTCATTATACAGCTTTTGGTGAATGCGGAAGATGCACCTCTGTACCCTGGCCTCTGACACCTGAGATTTGTGTTTTCAGCACCCGCCCTATTCCTGTGACACTGATTTGTTTAATACTCAATTTTAAATTGTCGTAACCACCCCTCTGAGATTTCCTGTTCAGGGGTGGGTGGTGATGGCAAAAAATGGTTAAGGGTGCTAAGAATTGTTAGGAGACACCCCCCCTCACAGAGCTACAATTCCCAGCACCTATAACAGACTACGGGACGAGGGTGGTGCTGTGGGGTAAACCACAGAGCCTAGGACTTGCCGATCAGAAGGTCAGCAGTTCGAATCCCTGCAACAGGGTGAGCTCCCGTTGCTCGGTCCCTGCTCCTGCCAACCTAGCAGTTCGAAAGCACATCAAAGTGCAAGTAGATAAATAGGTACCGCTCTGGTGGGAAGGTAAATGGTGTTTCTGTGCGCTGCTCTGGTTTGCCAGAAGCGGCTTAGTCATGCTGGCCACATGACCTGGAAGCTGTACGCCGGCTCCCTCGGCCAATAAAGCGAGATGAGTGCTGCAACCCCAGAGTCGGCCACGACTGGACCTAATGGTCAGGGGTCCCTTTACCTTTATAACAGACTACAGTACCCAGAATTCCTTGGAGGAAGCCGTGATTGTTACACATGGTATAAGAATGTGGCATCTGTGTTATAGTAGTTATGATGTTGGGCAAGATGAAACTCTGATTGGCTCCAGCAGGGTTCTTGTTTTTGTTTTGTTTCTGGTGGGCGCTGCTAACTGTGTTTTCGTTTGCTTTTCTCCAGCGGCAAGGGAGCTACCAGTCAGCCCCACTGCCAGAGTACAACGTCCCTGCGTTAATGGAACTGGTGCGTGAGAAGGAGGAGAGGATTCTGGCTCTGGAAGCCGACATGACCAAGTGGGAGCAGAAGTACCTCGAAGAGAGCGCCATTCGGCATTTTACCATGAACGCCGCGGCGGCAACTTCCATGGAAAAGTAGGGAAACGGCTAATGGAAGAAAGAGTCTGTCAGCATTGTTTGCGTTTGCCTTCTTAAAAAGAAGAAAATGAAAACGTACATTGGGCTCGAAACTCAAATCGGCATATAGATCAGGGTTTCCCAAACTTGGGTCTCCCAGCTGTTCTTGGACTACAACTCCCATCATCCCCAGCTAGCAGGACCAGTGGTCAGGGATGATGGGAGTCGTAGTACAACAACAGTTTGGGGGACCCTCAGGTAGACAATAAACAACTGAAACTTGCAACAAAAACTGTGTACACACTATAAAGCACAACAGAAATATATTTCCCTGCTGGAAAGAATTCTGAAGGGTTTCTGGGAATTGTAACTCTGTGATGGGTAAGCTACAATGCCCAGAATTCTTCAGAAGAAAGAATGTGCCTTAAAATTATAGTGTTTATGCAGCAAAAGGCCGTCATATGGAGGCCTCTTTTCTGTGTTATAGCTAGTCACGGCCTCTTCACCCCATGCCACCCGCACAATGTCCATTTTCTCCTCCAACAGTCAGCCAGCATTCTGTGGCCACTTAAGCAAGCTTGGCCCTCAGTGGGATGCTTCAAAGGCTCCCACACCCACCTGGGGACTTTCCCTCCTTGAAATATGCCTTGTGCTCCTGCAAACTTCTCCCGTGCCTGCTGATACATCTTTTTTAAAAAATATAATTTTTATTAGTTTTTTTTAACATATCATTTTCAACAGTAATTAAACATACTTTTACATCTCATTCAAATTTTTAACTTCCATCAATCCTGTCTGAAAATTTTCCAATCTAATCTTTCAGTATGCATTTCTTATCTTCCCTATTACATTTCAAACTCATAACCAATATCTCTATCTTTTTCTACTTTGTAACACTTCGTATATTTCTCCTTACGAAACTTCTTGTAGTCCTACTAGCGTAATTTGTTGATTACAGTTGCTCTTCAAATAAGTCATATACTTCTTCCAATCGTCTCTAAATCTCTGGTCAGAGATTTACAGAGAGGCCTGCTGATACCTCTTATCTTGTGTGTGAGTGGTGGCATTTTAGTCACAAACGGATCCACATTTGCCCCTGAACTTCAGAAAGAGAAGGAAAGGTTTTATAGTGAAAAACTATTCAAATAGTCTTTGAATTCTGCAGAATTCTTCTTCAGGAAGATGAGTCAGTGCTGTGGATAAAGACTTGTCTGTGGGTGTTCTCCAGTAATGGGTGACTTTTGGGGCGAATATAGATGACCATTTGTTGTTTGTTGTTGTTTAGTCGTCTTAGTCGTGTTTGACTTTCCGTGACCCCATGAACCAGAGCATGCCTTGGAGAAACTATCACTTTCTTCTCAAAGCTTCTCCTTTTTTATGTCCTTGGAGTTTTCTTGGCAAAATACTGGAGTGGGTTGCCAGTTCCTTCTCCAGGTGGATCACATTTCGTCTAAACTCTTGGCTATGACCTGTCCGTCTTGGGTGGCCCTGCATGGCAAAGCAGGTGGTAAATTGCTATAGTGGGCATATAGCCTCTGTCTGTCGTGTCCTGTCTAGTGGAAAACTTTACTGCTTTTCTACTGCTTTTATTTTGGGTTGGGTGTAGATTTTGGTTTTCAAAAAAATCTGCTTTGGCTTCATGTTGCAGATGACTCACTGTGGGGAGAAAGAACATAGCTCAGTGTTCAAGTACCAGCTTAGCATACAGAAAGTTCCAGGTAGAGTAATGAGAGAGTAATTAGATTTAGTTTACATTTAAAGGCAAACCTACCCAGCACTAGGGATGCGGGTGGCGCTGTGGGCTAAACCACTGAGCCTAGGGCTTGCCGATCAGAAGGTCGGTGGTTCGAATCCCCGTGACAGGGTGAGCTCCCGTTGCTTGGTCCCTGTTCCTGCCAACCTAGCAGTTTGAAAGCACGTCAGAGTGCAAGTAGATAAATAGGTACCACTCCGGCGGGAAGGTAAATGGTGTTTCCGTGTGCTGCTCTGGTTCGCCAGAAGCAGCTTAGTCATGCTGGCCACATGACCCAGAAGCTGTACGCCGGCTCCCTTGGCCAATAAAGCGAGATGAGTGCCGCAACCCCAGAGTCGGCCACGACTGGACCTAATGGTCAGGGGTCCCTTTACCTTTACCTTTACCTTTACCCAGCACACACTTTCTGAAATGTTGACACGAACCGAAACATGGCCAGCCTTCTCCATATCTTGCAGTACAGTTCTTCAGCCGAGTATTTTGTGTTCCAAAAGTGTGTTCAAAGGTAAAGTGTGCACAGGAGTGCTAACAGTAGTCAACGCATTATATTAGGGGAAATTGCTTTGCAAAAATGTGTATTTCTGTATCTTGTGAATGTAACTTGTTTATGTTTAATACTGAATTTTAAATTTTTGTGACCGTAATAATAATAATAATAATAATAATAATAATAATAATAATAATAATATTTATTATTTATACTCCGCCCACTGTGGGTGGCTCACAACAGAATATTAAAAACATGATAAAACATCAAACATACAAAACTTCCCTAAACAAGGCTACTTTCAGATATCTTCTAAAAGTCAGATAGTTGTTTATTTCCTTGACATATGATGGGAGTGTGTTCCACAGGGTGGGCGCCTCTGCCTGGGTCTTGCTGGTGAATCGTAGGTGGTATTAAGTAAATAACTAAGTAAGGCAAAATTGCATACACAAATGTGAATGAATGAATTAATTAATTAGTATACCACCCTTCATCCGTAGATCTCAGGGTTATTCACAATATAGGAGAAATGCACACCAAACTGATGAATTTTTATGGGGACTGAAAAAGGAAAAAAGACTCGCAAACCGATGTGGAAATGTGGAGAGCAGAACATAAAAGTGGAGCTATGAAAAACTGTATTTTGACAGCTCTGCCCATCTCTAGCTCCGTGTTCAATCCCATGCATCTACAGTTAAAAGGACTAAGAGACAGATCTCCCTTTGCCAGAGACCCCTGGAGAGCAGCTGCCAGTCAGAATAGAAAATATTGGGCTGGAGATGCAAATATTCTGACCTAGTATAAGGAAGATTATTTATGCTCCTTATCTTTTGACCAAATCAAAACTGAAGGTTCCCCCCTCCCTCTGTCTTTCTCTCTCTCGTTGCCAGGGATGCCTCAGCCATTAATCACTCGCGGAACGGGAGCTACAGTGAAAGCTCCCTGGAGGTCCGCATGTGGCAGGAGGAAGAAGAGATTTTGCAAGCCAACCGACGGTGTCAGGACATGGAATACACGTAAGGAGCAGCTGTCAAGTAGCTGCCGTGGGATTTACATGAGCACCCGCAGTGCTGAAGCCTCTTGACTGTCTTGATATTCTGGCAGGCATACCAACTCAACCCCATCACGTTAACCCTATTCCAAGGCATGGCGAGGGGCAGGCACAGTGTGAATGCGCAGCTCGACTCTCCCTCTGACCCCATGAGCACCCAAATCAGACTCTAGTAAAAGCATGCTTTACCAAATACTGTGGAGGCCAGGAATATATATATATATGAGAGAGAGAGAGATGGGTTGTATGGGGTGTTATGGAAGGGGTTGTACCTCTGATGGGGGACACGTCATGCTCCTTCTAGGGTACTTTGTCCACCTTTGGTCCCCACCCTGCCTGCACTCAGCTCTCACCTGTGGCTCCTAGAAGCTGTCAGCATGCAACAGCAGCCACACCCAGCTTCCAGTGGCCGGTTAAACCAGGTGAGAGTAGCCAGTGGCTCTCAAACCTTCGGTGGGTTATGGACTTCCCCTGCAAGCAAAGACAGGCTCCGCCAGATTGACCGGACAAAACCAATAGTGGGTTCAACAGTCAAGAAGGCAGTTACTGCAGATGATGTGTAGAGGGAAGTGAGGGGCAGATGGGGCTCGGCAACCTGGGAAGGTAGCCCATCTAGGAGAAGGAAAACTCTACTGCCTTTGGGATATCTTCAGGAGAAGAAAAGGCTAAGGAGTAAACCCTACACCAGGGGTAGGCAACCTAAGGCCTGGGGGCTGGATCCAGCCCAATCACCTCAATCCGGCCCACTGATGGTTCGGGAATCAGCGTGTTTTTACATGAGTAGAATGTGTCCTTTTATTTAAAATGCATCTCTGGGTTATTTGTGGGGCCTGCCTGGTGTTTTGACATGAGTAGAATGTGTTCTTTTATTTCAAATGCATCTCTGGGTTATTTGTGGGGCATAGGAATTCATTCATATATATTTTCAAAATATAGTCCAGCCCCCCACAAGGTCTGAGGACAGTGGACCGGCCCACGGCTGAAAAAGGTTGCTGACCCCTGCCCTACACCAATCCAGAGGGGAGTCCCTAAGGCAGTTGGATGATGCCTTGTACGCCTCCTTCTAGCAACTCCTGGTGCCAAACGTATTGCTCTGCTTTCCTTTGGACCACATCAGTGATGCCAAGAGGGGGGTCTTATTGTCTGGGCAGCCCAGGACTTTCATACATGCTGCTCAGGCTTGCGCCCTGGGGAGGTCACTTAGGTGCTGCTAAGGTAGCAGTTTGAAGGTGCACTCCATTGTCTCTGGAGACAGACAGGTGCCATCAATGTGCATGAAGGAGCAGTTTTGAGTTTCAGACATTCTACTGTTTGGTTATTCAAAACAGTACATAGGGCATTCCTCTTACCTTATTAAGCACTTGGGAAAATTTTGCATTTTGATTCGTTTCAAATTGAAATTAGAGTTTTAATTGTGGGTTCTCTGTGCTAAAGAATTTAAAGGTTCTGAGCCTGGAAAGCCTGCTTTCTGCAACCTGTGAAAATTGAACGGATTTCTGCAAATTTTATAATGTTGCAGTCAGGTTGATTCCACAGATATTCTCCCTCTGCGATAAACACTCACTGTCAGACACAGGAAACTAAATATACACCACGTCCATTAATAAACAACACTTTGCAAACTCCTACAGTTGCAGTCTGGGCACTTCTTTTAACAGATACCAGTACTAAAACTCAATTTGTCATACCAGCGTTGTGGGACCAGACCACCTCCTTTCAAGCCTCTTCTCATCTCTGGAACATGTTTATCTGCATATTTTAACAGGATAAAGAACCTGCATGCAAAAATCATAGAGAAAGATGCCATGATCAAAGTGCTTCAGCAGCGGTCCAGGAAGGACCTTGGCAAAACTGATGCTTCAAGCTTGCGACCTGCTCGGTCGGTCCCATCCATTGCTGCAGCCACTGGAACTCATTCCCGCCAGACGTCCCTCACCAGCAACCAGGTGACCGAGGAGAAGAAAGAAGACAAGACTTGGAAAGGGAGCATAGGTGAGCTTCGGTGTTAGTTGGGCCCTGGCAAAGAGATTCAGCTCTCCCCATCTCTTCGTGGAACAGCTTTGGACTACAACTCCCATCAGCCCCTGCCACCTTATGCGTTGGCCCCACCCATTGCAGTCCAAAACATAGGGAGGGCACCAGGTTGGGCAAGTCTGCTTCCGCTGGTTCTTGCTGCTTTTCTGGCTGTTGTGTTTTATGAAAGTGGATTGTTGTTGCTTTTGCCTGCTGAGTGGATGAATTTATTTGTTGTTACAAACATCATGGTCATTTCAACTATCACTAAAAAAAGAAATATACATATACAAAATTTACATAGATACACAATTACAAAGCAGAATCACCCAATTCATACATATAGTATATATAAATTAAAATTCGTTGTTGCTTTTGCTTACTCTATATTGATTGGTGTTTTATTGTGTTGCAGTTTTTATGGATTTTTATGGGGACCCTGTGGCCGAAGATGACAATATATAAAATATATAATATACAAATATATAAAATATATAAAAATGACAATATATAAAATAGCACCAAAGGAGGAGATCAACCAATTAAAAGTGCTTGATTTATGCACTTGGTCAAACAAAAGCCTTTGGCAGTTGGGGATTCACACTTTATATAACTTTGAACTTGGGCAAAAATAATAATACTGAAATATATGTGGCATGCGAACACACACAATTAATTTAAAATAAGCAATATGAATACATACAAGAGCACAACAAGAGCAAGCATATGTCTTGGGTATTTGCTGAGTCAAATAAACCCATTTGTTTCCATTAAGTGGCAAAGTTTAAATGCAGAACATTGTCAGTGGTGCATTCACATTTAAATTATTATTATTCTTTGCAATTGACACAAGAGTATTGGTTGGTTCAAATCCAGATCTGATGGTCAGCTCCCACATTCCACTACTTTGGGGGCCTTTTTTCCTGCCTTTCTCCTTCAGCCTCAGGCTACCTATCTCTTTATCCCTTACTTCCCAGCTTTGTGAAAGTTCTTTGTCGCCTTCCCAGTAAAGCTGCTTATTCCCTTTCTTTCCCCAGGACACTCTTGGCCAAATTAGCAACTTACCCTTCCCTCACAGGACTTGTACTGCAAACGTCCCGCCTGCTTTGTTCTCTAAGCAGTTGGAATGTTTGTGGACATTCTGTTCCACCACGCCATCTTCAGCTAGTACGTTATCAAAAAGCTTCACTGTGGCAAGCAGGATACAGTACAGCCGCACAGACCAGTCATTTCCTAGTCACTGCTTACAATTGTTCACTTTCTTCTTGTTGGTTCCATGGTATTGGCATTTTTAATCTAAATTGCTTGGATGGGAAAGACAAAATAACAAGGATATCTGGTGTTTTATAGTGTGTGTTGAATTTCTCCCCCCCCCCTTTTTTGTTTTTGTTTTTGTTTGTTTTAACATGCTGTGTGGTTAATTTAAACCACTTTGAGCCTTTGGGGAAATAGAGTAGAACTTTAATTAAATCAATGGGGTGCTCTCCCTCTCTTGTTTCTCCTGCTCCTCTAGGATTGCTCTTAGGGAAGGAGACCCAGGACCAGTCGCCCATCCCTTTGTTGCCACCTCCACCTCCTGCCACACTGTCTTCTGGAATGTCCTCGTGGCCGGTGACTGTCTGCCACACTAAGACGGGGAGCAAAGACAGCAGCACTCAGACGGACAAAGCCTCTGAACTTTTCTGGCCAAACTCTGCCTCTTTTCCGGGCAGAGGGAAGTTGACTAACACCCCAGGGGGCAGCCCAGCCCTCAGGCACACTGCAGGCAGAGGCGTTGGAGAGAGACCGGGTGAGTAAATTTGAACGCCATGGGCCTGGGAACAGGAGCAGGGCAGGGAGGGTGTTTTGAGCTGCAGTGTGCAGAACCTGGAATTATGAAATTCTGTCTCCAGAAAAGAAAGATATTACGGAGCCTTGCCTCCGTAATAGACGCCATGGGCCTGGGAACAGGAGCAGGGCAGGGAGGGTGTTTTGAGCTGCAGTGTGCAGAACCTGGAATTATGAAATTCTGTCTCCAGAAAAGAAAGATATTACGGAGCCTTGCCTCCGTAATAGACTGGATGAGAGATGAACTGATGCTCAATGCAGATAAGGGTGAAGCACTGTTGGTAGGAGGTCCCCTTGACCGGTTGGCTAGGAGGTTGCCTGCTCTTGGTGGGGTTATATTCCCTCTGAAGGAGCAGGCACCTAGCTTGGGGGCTACTTCTGGACCCTTTGCTGTTGCTTGAGGCTCAGGTGGCCTTGGTGGCCCAGAGCGTCTTTTCTCAGCTTCAGCTGGTGGCCCTATCTGGACAGAGATAGCCTAACTTCTGTTGTCTATGCTCTGGTAACCTCGAGGTTAGGTTACTGCAGCACGTTATACATAGGGCTGCCTCTGAAGACTGTTCAGAAACTTCACTTGGTGCAGAATTCAGCGGCAAGGTGGTTTGAGCACGTCCACACCAATCCTGATTCGACTGCACTGGCTGCCTATCAGTTCCCAGGCCCAATTCAAAGTGCTGGTTTTTGACCTATAAAGCCTTAAATGGCCAAGGACCACAATACCTAAAGGACCACCTTTCCCCATATGAACCGACGAGGACCCTGCAATTATCTTGAAGCCCTCCTTCGTGGTCTTCCTCCACCAGAGATCTGTAGGGCGTCAACGTGAGAATGTGTCTTTTAGTTTAGGATTGCGCATCAGTTCTAAAGGAGCAAGTTATTGCTCCCCCCGCAGGCAGCACCTTAAATCTGATTTATAGCATCACAGAGTGCTGTACCCAACCCCCAAAATATCTCAGATTAACTCCAGGAGACCGTCGCTTACCTCTGAAGGTCAAACTGCATGTTGCATTATATAAATTCCATTATTCTCTCTCCCCCCCCCATTTATTTTTATGCTGAGCAGCTGTAGGTGGCTGCAAGGCTGAGTGGGTGTCTGGCAGGGGAAGAGAATCTGCTGCACCCTTTCACTGCCGGCTGGTTTGCTTACTCAGAATTGCTCCAATAGCACCTGCTTTCCCATATCTGGGGGACGGGGGTGAGACACATGCTTCCCATATTTCCCCCCATGGAAAGCAGCACACTTTTAAGCAATCAGCAGCCAGCTGGTAGGAAGAAAACGGTTAAGTAGACTCTCCCCGCCCCCAACTTCCCTTCTTCCGCTATCAGTTTTCATTTTAACTTTGATGCCACTCACAGTGTTTTTGCAAGTCTCCTCCACTCTGTGCACTTAAAATGCCTTTATACCACTTTAACCAAAGAGTCCTGGGAACTGTAGTTTGTTAAGGGTGCTGAGAATTGTCAGGTGACCCCCCCACAGAACTACACTTCCCAGCACCCTCGTCAAAGTACAGTTCCCAGGATTCTTTGAAGGAAGCCATGATTCTTAGAGTGGAATAAGAATACAGTGGTACCTCGGGTTAAGTACTTAATTCGTTCCGGAGGTCCGTTCTTAACCTGAAACTGTTCTTAACCTGAAGCACCACTTTAGCTAATGGGGCCTCCTGCTGCCGCCGCGCGATTTCTGTTCTCATCCTGAAGCAAAGTTCTTAACCCAAGGTACTATTTCTGGGTTAACTGAGTCTGTAACCTGAAGCTTATGTAACCTGAAGCGTATGTAACCCGAGGTACCACTGTACTTTAAATTTGGTGACCAAACCACACCCAAACAATTGGGAATTGTGGTATCGCAATGTGCACTTTGGCCCCAAGATCAACTTTCGCCCTCTTCACTGTTTCTCCGCAGAGAACTCTCCCAGCCATGGCAAGCTACCGGACAGCAGCAAAGGCGGCAGGGTCAGCAGCCTGCTTCACAAACCTGAATTCCCAGATCCAGACATGATGGAAGTCCTTATCTGAAGCTACAGTTCTCAGGTGCTGCCTTTTCCCCTGCTGGTGCACACAGCCCCCTGAAGGAGGGTGCTGCCGTCGTTGGCACTGTTGCTGCTGCTGCCGTGCAAAACTCGAGAGCTCTGGAGAATGGTACAAAACCGGACCAAAGAAGTTTAAATCTAGACGGCAAACGAGACTTTTAAGCAAAGCACAGAGCATGTGAGACGTTGGAGATGGGACATTTGGGATACCTGCTACGTACAATCATAAAAAAAATTTACATTGGCTAATGAGATGTGGATTTGAAAGAGCGACGGCAAAAGCAAGACATGGGCAACTGCATTTTCTGTCGGGGGTGGGGGGGGAGAACTTTGGAAGGCACAGTCAGCATGCCGAGGACAATTCTGCAACCACCAAGTTAGTGGTGGTTGCTTTTTAAATCACCTGCTAGCTCTAGCTAACCAGAGCAGCCACATTCCCTCTGTGAAATGTTTTGTGCAATGTGCACCCCTGGGACGAGGGAGCAGGACTTCCCTATATTTAGACATCATCCCACTGCCTTCTTCCTGCTGTTTTTGTTTTAATCTCCCTCCCACCCACCTTTAGAGAGAGAGAGAGAGAGAGAGAGAGAGATGGTTAAAAACAGGGTGCGGAACAACGTGCCCTTCTGATAAATTTTCGCAACTCTTCGCCTCTATTTAATATTTATTGAGGAACGACAGCATGCGGTTGCCATCACAGAAGCAGCAGGGTCCTTCCTTGCTAAGAGGGCTTAGAACATGGGTAGCTGATGGGGGGCTCTCCAGATGTGCTTGGATTAGAGCTCTCTTTCGCCCCAGCTAAGAGCCAGGATTGAGCTGTAGCCCTGTAACATCTGAAGAGCACAACGTTGGCTGCCACTGGCTTCAAATCTAATGTTATCTCACGCATTACAGGTGAGACTTAGTTACCTCTTTCCAGTAGTAGTAGTAATAATAATTTTATTATTTATACCCCCCCCCCCTCTGACTGGGTTTCCCCAGCCACTCTGGGCGGCTGGGTTGTTCTGCTGGGGCAAGAAACCTACCAGCCAAACAAAAATAGTCATTAAAAAGCACCTTAAAACCTGATTTGTGGTCTCATAAACTTTCATGGGCTTAGAGTTTCGAGCAGGGGATGTTCCCAGCTCTGCCTGGAGATATTGAGGAATTGACCTTGGGAACTTTCTGCTTTATCGCTGAACTACGGCTCTCCCTTGTCAAATACAGGCATGGAATCCTATGTAACACCATCATAGGAAGCTGCCTAGATGTCTGGGTGGTTTCAAGTAGACCAGCAAGGATTTTTCATTCCCGCTTGTTTAAGAACGGCAGCAGAAAATGCCCCCTCCCCATTATACTGCTGAAATTAAGAAAACTGGGCGAGGGGGAGCAAGAGGTAACCAGCAGAATGTGCTTGGGGTGTGTGAGTTCAGTTCTCAGAACAGAATTCCCAGACTCGGAAACCTTTAAGTGTAAATGTACGCCTTTTGCACCAGTTGCGGTTGGCGGGTCTCAGGATTCTTGTATAAAAACAAAGTTAGTCCCACAGTCCTGAGGTCTGCCCACTGCTGCTATAAACAGCTTCGCTTCAGTGTCCCTTTTCCTAGGTTTTCTGCTAGTTTTCCAAAACTGTTCGATGTGTGGCCGTGCATGTTTTGCAAGGGCCATAAGCTTTGCTCTTCCGTCTCGTGCAGGTTCTGTGAAATGCTGAGCCGTTTAGCAGTGCTTTGTCTTTTAAACCAACCACCAAGCTCTTAACCCTAACTCTTAGAGATTCAAACAGTGGTAATTGCCATCTGCTTTGTGCATTTATCCCAACCAGCAAGGGTGACTGCAGGAAGCCACCTAGGTTGCCCTGTGGTCTTTGTTGAAAGGCCAAGTGGAAACGGAGCATAATACATACTCTTCCCATGTGTGATTCCTGGCAAATGGAGGGCACAGCAATAGCCATCATGACTAGTAACCACTGATAGACTTGCAGCAAGAAGACATAGACAAGCTCAGCCTCCTATGTCATACATGCTTGGCTCAGCAACACTTAGCAAGTGGGATCCAAACGTAAGTTTCACTTAGTTCCTGTTGGAAATCAGTGGGACAACTTTCCATGTTGGATTTCAGTGGGACCCGAAGTTCAGCTAACTAACCTGTTAAGTTTTTGCATTTTCACACAGGATTGCTATGGATTTATACTTGGCCAACAGGGTTTTGTGTGTCGTTGTTGGTCTGGGGAGGTGGCTGGGGATGTGCATTTGCACCCGCGTCATTAGGGAATAGGGATAGGGAATGAGCACCCCTGTCCCCACCGTACCATGCCAATAGGGATTGCATTGGGTGTCGTTAGTTTTCCCCCCCCATTGGTCAGTTGCTGCTGTGCTGTACTCTTTTTTTCTGAATGAACAATTCAGTGAGCTTCTGTACAGTGCTAGCAACTATTTGTCCCAAGAAACATCTCCGTATTAACTCCCAATTCATACCTCTTGATGAGGCGTTATGCGCAGATAAGCCTCCCAGAGCCTGTAGAGGCTGTCAGCCCTCAAAACAACTGTAAACAGCAGCACCTTGAAATTACACACACACTTCTCCATGCCCTACCCGTCAGACAAGGAGAGAGCCTTGCTGCCTTTTGCTGGAAAGAAATCAAGGGCTTTCCTTGTTCCCTCTAGCACAGGGATGAAGAACCTGTGACCTTTCAGATGTTCTTAGACTCCATCTCCCATTGGCCCTAGCCAATGGGGCCAGTGTTTTGGTATGATGGGACTTGTTGTCTTTCAACATCTGGAGGGTTACAGGCTCCCTACCCATGCATGGTGCTGCATTCCACAAGAGTGAACAGGCAGCACCAGGGACTCAGTTTGCATGGGTAGGGCATGGGGAGAACTGGAAAGGCATGGCTGGCTGGCAGTTTGGTGGAGCTACTACAGTCACTTGGAGGCTACTTCAGCTTCTCACTTGTTATTACGGAGCAAACGCAGGAACCAAGGCTGTATGTGACATAGTTTGCCCGTTGTGCTGGTCCCGAGGTGCAGTTTTAGGAGAATCCTCCTGCAGTTTCCTCCTCCTGTATATCTATATTGATGTGCCTTTGTACTTGTAGCATTCAGTTAAGCACCACTTACAGCAACACCCCAAGGGTAAATTTACAGTGTAAATGATGCTTGCGTTTGGCAGGCAACTTTCTGCAGATGAACTCCGTATATATATTTGAAAATTTACAGCCCAAAGGATCAGGAAAGTCTATGCTTGCTTCTCTAGTTGTGCTTGGATGTTTTAATGCAAAAAAGAGAGGTTTTCTAGAGCACCCCATGTTAGAGCAGAGTGTATGTGGAATACTGCTGTTATGACTAAAGTGGTGGCTTAACCTTTAGCAAAAACGTTTCTGCCCCTCCTCGAACACCTTGGCTTGTGTGTTACAGTATTGTGCTGTGTGACATTTGTGTTGTATCAATATTACAGGTAAACGGGTTGTAAGATAACGTCAGATCGCTTCCCTCCCCCTTCCCCCAGTTGTCCTTCTGTTGTACAGAATGGCTGGTGTAGAGCATCGTTCAGCTGGAGTGTGTTTGTACATATATGGGGCAGGGAAGGATCGAGGAGTTTATACACCTCCCACGAGAAATACTGATGGCCTTGGGCCTGCCAAAGATTTTTGACCTCTGCTGCTTAAATTTGTGCCTTAATATTGTATATAATAAACGTATACAGTAGTGCGCCCCCTTTGACTTTTTTGGTTTTAAATGGGTTGGAGGGAAGCATATTGTCCTGTTTCAGGGCAGTTGGCAGGAGCTGGTCAGCAAGAACACACACTGTGTCGGTGAAATCATCTCTCTCTCTTCAAAGAAACAAAACAGCCCAGCAACTCTGCCCTAATGTGTCAGTTGTGAAGACTGAAGGTCCCTAAGTTTCCTCTTCTCTTGGGTCCTTCCCAAGGGAGACTCCATCGCTGTGCCTGTCTTTGCTTCTCCCTCTTCATGCCTCTTCTGGTCCTGGGAGAACAGGAGGAAGGAGATCTGGTCACAGCAGCAGCAGGAGACCCTCTGGACTCTTCAGCAGCCTGCCTCATCTCTGCCTCTTGGCCCTCCTCCTCTCTAGCCTCCACTTCTGGACAGCTCCCTGCCACAGTCTCTTCCTACTCACTAAACCCTGTTACCCCTTCAGCTTCTGTCACCACCTCCTCCCAGTCTGCTCCCTCTTCTTCCTCTGACCACTCATCATCGTCCCACCACCAATCCCCTGGCTCTGAGCCTTCTTCCCTTGGGGGTTCCCCAGCTGTTGCCTCCCACCACTCCTTGGCATCCAGCCAGTGCATGTGCCATCTTGATGCTTTCTTCGCATTGTTCTCCAAGTCAAGAGTTTGACGTGTGAGCTGAGAAATCTTCAAGTACAAAACCTTATCTCACCACTTCCGCGAACTCACTTGTGGGCCTAAGCAGGTAGCTTCTGGGTGGAAGTTGCTGTTTCCTGATTATCGTATTCCTGCCCACACATCCATCTTCCATTGCTGTTGGCCACCCTACCAGTGGTTCCATAGCAAACCCCTACATTAACAGCATCGAAGCGACCTCCCCAGGGCGCAAGCCTCATCAGTGTGTATGAAGGTCCTGGGCTGCCCAGACAACAAGACCCCACTCTTGGCCTCGCTGATGTGGTCCAAAAGAAAGCAGAGCAATACGTTTGGCACCAGCTTGGCTGCAGGAGTCGCCAGAAGGAGATGTACAAGGTGCCATCCAACTCCTCTCTGGATTTGTGTAGTGTTTATTCCTGAGCCTTTTCTTCTCCCAAAGATGTCCTGAAAGGCAGCCAAGGTTCTCCTAGATGGGCTACATTCCCAGATCGATGAGACCCACCTGCCCCTCATGTCCCTCTACAGCAGCCTTTCTCAACCTGTGGGTCCCCAGATGTTGTTGAACTACAACTCCCATCACCCCTAGCTACCAAGGCCAGAGCTCAGGGATGATGGGAGTTGTGGTTCAACAACATCTGGGGACCCACAGGTTGAGAACCGCTGCTCTACAGCATGTGCAGAAACCGTCTTCTTGACCGCTGGACCCATTACTGGTCTTCATCTGCTCAATCTACCGGAGCCTGTCTTTGCATGCACGGAAAGTTATTGATTCAATGAGCATTTGAGACCCATCAGCTACCCTCACCAGGTTAGCCAGCCAGTTGAAGCTGTTTCCCAGGGTGTGGTCGCTGTCACATGCTGATAGCTTCTAGGAGTCACAGGTGAGAGCTGAGTGCAAGGTGAGGACCAAGGGTGGGCAACTTACTACAGAAGGAGCACAACGGATCCCCCACCAGAGGTCTTGCCCCTTGCCTAACACCCCATACATCCTGGTGGTATGAGCTGTTCAACAGCGGAGCAGACTTTGTGGCAGAGTCTGTTAAGAGTTTTTTAAGCAGAGCCTAGGTAGCCATCTTACTGTGACTAAAAATGTAATTAAGCTGGGTGGAGGTGAGAAACACGATAAATAACATGGATTTAGCAACTGGCTATTGCATGCTCCTAAATGAATCAGAAAAATGTTGGCGCTAAGCCAGGAGGACATCTTCTTTGTAAGGCATGGCAACCCACAGAGCACATTTTTCCGATGGCCCTGCAACATTCTTGCCTGGCAGTTCTGCACCTGTTGGGTCCAACTCCTTCCCCTTCCTTCCTCTTCCACTATTTTTCAGAGGGAACATTTGTCAGCAGGATGCCACAAATACCAGCAGGGATGTTGGCATTGCTGTATGAATCGCGAGGAGGGCACAGCAGACTGGTGCTCCATGCTCCATAGTCCATCTGCTTTTTCTGAGGTACATCCACTGCATGGAACTTATAGTCCTCAAGTGCTTGGCTGAAAAATAAAACAGGTTAGGCAATGATCCTTCAGAGTGAACAAATCTTGCATATAGTATTTTTAAATGTACCCTACCGCAATATTCAAGTCCAGTATGAGGTTTCCCGTCAATAAGGAAAATTCCCTCCTCACTTCCTTCTTCTTTGCCCTGTCCCCACAGAGAAAGTATTTAAAAGAGCACCAAATACTAATATATATATTTAATCAACCACTTAATGAGCCTTCCTCAGGCTATAGGAGCTGAGCTTGATGCACAGCTGTTTAGTAGTATTACTAAATTCAATTTCAACCAGGAGTATCCTTAGGGGTTTTGAATTATTATTGGGCTGCTTAGTACAGCATTTTCCCAAACTGTAGTCTTCAGCTGGTTTTTTTTTTTGGACTACAACTCCCATCATCCTTGACCAGTAGTCCTGCTAGCTAGGGATGATGGGAGTTGTAGTACAAAAACAACTGGAGACCCAAGTTTAGGAAACCCTGCCATAGTCCACTGCTGGTTCTGTTTCCAGACAGGAAGGATGGGGAATCTGTGGTTCTCCAGATGTTGAATTTTTTAAGCACTTGGCTCCTCCTCCCCACCAAGAATCCTGGGAACTGTAGTTTACTGTAGAGCTATAATTTTTGGGAAAATAAGCAAGGCCCCCCCAAAAAGAGTGAGCTTTGTGACAAGCTGTGAAAGAAAAGAGAGAGATGGCTCCATACAGGCTTTCGCAAAAGGGCAGAAACCTTACGCTGTCTTACGCAGACCCCACTTCATTTCAGCTAACGGCGGTTCTCAACCTGTGGGTCCCCAGATGTTGTTGGACTACAACTCCCATCATCCCTGAGTTCTGGCCTTGCTAGCTAGGAGTGATGGGAGTTGTAGTTCAACAACATCTGGGGACCCACAGGTTGAGAAAGGCTGAGCTAGGAGCACATGGGTGACAGTCCCGGTGGATATGGGGCCCTTGGTCGCCTTCCAGTAGACGACAAGAGGACCTTCATGTTACAAAAGCTAGGCAGCTGAAGGCAAAAGAATAAAATGAGACTGACAGGTTGGCGAAAGGGGAAGAATAAGCTGAGGTAAATCAGCGCACACTCACAGAGACACGCGGCACAAAATGGAATTCAAGGCTATAAATAAAAGGCCAGTATTATGTTGCCATAGAAACGAAATATGGAAGAACAAGGAGATGAAGAAAACAAGTAAGTGAAAGGGACTTTGTGTCCCCCATGCTGGTGAGCACTTCAGATGGCCATTTATGACTCCCCAGAGATGAAAATGCATGTGTGTGTGCGCGTTTCCTTCCTAGATTTGTTCTGGGTTTTCCATCGACACCAACGTGAGCTCCATGTTGGAAGAAAGGCAGGATATAAATCCGGGAACTGAGGGAAATCTGGCACCCACAAACCCTGGCACTCACCACACATGACAAGACATAGGATAACTAGCGGTTAGCTTCCAAAACGGTCAAGGCTCAAGCCTGCAAGGCAACGTGTGTCCGAATGATGTCAAGCCCTTTGTGGAAGAGACAACAATGGAGGGAGAAACTCATTTGTGAAAAACTGCATGTGAGAATTTGGAATCGCTGTGAGGGATGCCGGCATGTGGATGAAAGACGGTTACCGGGGTGTGAATGGAGGAGAGATTCAGAGAAGGTTTTTTTTTACCAAAAAACAAAAAGCGTATAAAATGAGAGTATGAAATAACATCCATTTTTAAGTAAACATGCAAGGTGTCAGGGGGCCTCGGATAGGAAACCAGAAATACTACTGATCCTTGCACACCAACCCTTTCCCACGGTACTTCACCCCTTCACACAACGTTATTCTGGCCTTCAGATGAAATCTTTTTTTGAAAAACGGCTTTTTTTAAAAAAGCACGATAAATGACTCTTGAGTGAAGCTAATGTTTGTTTGGGCCCCGGATCAACTGTGATTTATGAGAACCATGTGTTTGGAACAAACTTGAGAAAGATCAACTCAACTGTCTACTCAGCAAAGAAATTACCTCAGTAGGAGAGACACACCAGATGTCACTCATCTGAAATTTATCTTTGACCCCACACCCCAGTCTTCAGCTGTGAGAAAATAAGACAAACTCAAGCGGCCTGAATTGAAGTGTATCATCTCCCTGTTCCCTCCAAGACAGTGGTTGCCTTACCCACTGACCCTCAAGATGTTATTGAACCACAAATCCCATCATCCCTGACCACTGGTGCAAGTTGTTGTTTGACAACATCTGGAGGGCCACAGGTTAGCCACTCCTGCTCTAAAACAATTTTTGTCCACCCTGTTCGCTTATTTCATGGCTTTTCTCCAAGATCTCTGGGAGCGAAACTAGATTAGCTCACTTTATATTCGCAACTCTCTTTGAGGCGAAATTTTGGGCTAAATTACATGTGGTTTTGGAGTACTGTGTCAGGAGCTGCCACTGTAGTTCCTCTTTTTTTTGTAAAAGCAGCTGTGCCCCACACACAACAGCCCAGCCCCAATTTAGAGTGGGGTTGTAGCCACTTATAGATGTTTTAAAAGATGAAAATTTAAGCCACTCAAGGAGAACTACATGTTACTTCAGGGTAGGGGTGGGGGTGGGGGAGAAACTCAGTTTAGTAAGGGATTTTAGTGCAAACCTACCTAATTTGAACTTTCCAACACATGAGAACCAAAAGAACTGTCCTTTGAAAATTGTGCTTCTCCAAAACTTGTGATGCAAAGATGTTTACAAAAATGCATAGGAAAAATACATTATAGAAAATAACATATAAAATGCATTTTTTTTAATGCAAATGCGAAAACATCTATCTATCATCTATCTATCTATCTATCTATCTATCTATCATCTATCTATATCATCTATCTATCTATCTATCATCTATCTATCATCTATCTA